CTGGCCTGTGTAATTCGGCTGAAGGAATTATGACAGTGGAAAATCATTTTCCTGGGCCGCGGATAGGAGGCCATGGCTAATCGTTCAGTAATCTGATCTGCCTGCATACTGTAGCATTCAGCCGCGCCGCTAGCCTAGCCAGCCAGCCAGTCACACATGTGGACACCCCCCGTGCCTGCCAACTGTCTAACGGAGACTAGCACCGTTCAAAAGCAACTCTCCAGGTTTTCCTGAGGATTACTGATGCTATCGGATCATTTGCTAATACTCGGTTTTGCTGAGCTGTTTGAAATGTATTTACCCAGCTCCTACTCTCCAATACCCCTTACAAAAGCAGGGCTTAAGCCAAAAGAATACCACATACAAGGCAGAGAAGGCTCTAATACAACCTACTTTACAAGCAAAATTCTTGCAATCGAGAATTTTAACCCTGAAGCTTCATTATATATGAGGAAACGTCTTTGGGGCAGGTCCGGTTGTAGATTCCATCGCTTCGTGGGGCAAGTGTTTGTAGCAGGAACATATGAATAACAACCATCGGGAGCAGGACAAAGCGCTGCTTTTACCCTGCAGAAAAGGTTGGTGGGGGCTCAAGTTTTGGATAGCTGCCTGGCTTTGGCCACATTCTGAGGAGAAGTCTGCTCCCCACACACTGAGAGTACCTACAAGGGGCACGGACATGGAAAAATACAAGAGCTGGCATGTTGTGGACCGTGTAGCTTCCAACAATGACTAAACGTGATGGTAGAGCTCCTGCACAAAATTAAGCTGACATCCGCCTCCATGAAGACATTACAATAAGTCATTCCTAAAACAACTGACTTATAGTTCCTGTTTTTAGCCCCTTAACCCTAAACGGACCGGGTCAATGTTCCCCAGTGTGACAGCGTCCGAAGATGCTCTTTGTTACACCTTTTCTGATCTGTGGAGGCCATGGGCCTCCAGGTGTAGGCATTGTGTGTGGCAGCCTTCTGCAGGTAAACACAAGCGGAAAAATGAGGATATGTGATTAAATGGATGCAGCGGCAGCCTTCATCAGCTGAACGGGCTGGATGGCAGCATGTTTGGTAGCCAGAGGGAGCAGTCAGATGGAGGTTTAGAGCAAACGGTTGGCACAGATAAACAGAGAGGCAACTTAAGATACAGCTCTCTGCAAATACGACAAACAAATGATAGCAACCATCCTCTTTCAACCCCTCCCACCTTTTTTTCTACCAAATGTAATCTCCAAATGGAAAGAAGCCTATTTTTTTATCTGCTCTAACACATGCTGGGAGGAGCCTGTGATACACACCACATGGTTGGGGGAATGAAAATAATTATAATAATAAAGCAAAGAGCCGGTCAAATAAATCTCATGAAACCCAGAAGGACAGCATGTCGCAGTTGCAAAAAATGTGTTCTGCAGCTGAAGGGGGGAAAACGCAGGAAAAGTCCTTGTGACTTTGCCAAACACATTTCCAGTGTGAGTCATTCGACTTCAGTAATCTCTCACTCACTTAGGGGCGCGCTCGCACGCGCATACACCCCCAGGCCAAAGATTTCAGGCAGGTCTGGACTGCCCCCCTTTTTTTTTTTTCCCCCCTGCTTCCTTTTCTGTGGAGCAGAGTCAAGTGTTGGTAGTGTTGAACAGACTCTGCTCTGGGTGGGAGCGGGCGTTTGCTCCGTTTTAAGCCACAAAAGGAGCGACAAAGCGGCCGCGTGCCACACAGACGGATGCAGGAAGACGTTGGCTGGCTGGTGAAATCAGAAAAAAAAGCAAAAACACATTACAAAAAAGACATCTTGGCAGTTTAAATCGTCCCGCTTCCTTTAGCGACTCCTGCTCTGGAGTATCATGTGGCACACACAGTCTGCAGCACACTGTCTGCTTTTCATCCACAACCAACTCAACTCATGACCCAAACAAATGACTCCGAGTGGGGGACGTTTCTGCACGATGGGAGCCTGAAAGGTCGTGATGAATCTGATGCATCGTATCACAACGCAGACTTGCCGGTGCAGCCGATAAGCCAAATCCCACCGAATCGTTTAGGCAAATGAGATAGTATGGGGAGCAATTGTTGCATGTCCGTCCTAATCTTTTGTGCAGCTCTGCCATGTGTGGACCTGCAGAGCTGGCTGGCAAGAGAGAACCCCCTCAGGAATCCGCCTTTAATTATAAATCGAGCTCACAATCGTGCGTCCTTTTAACTGCGAGGGGCTGGTTGGTTACACCGTGTGTCGGGTTCCTTACGCAAACTTGAAGGGGGAGCGTTTGGGAAGAAAAACAACACGCCGCCGCTCCGGCAAAGTTAGAAAAAAACAAGTTGCTCGGCTGTCGCCGGTACCCCCGGGGTTTTGCACTACGGGGCCGGAGTCCATAAAGGAATCCCGGCCGTTAAAATCACAAAGCGGGGCGGCGGGACGCGGCTCTATCCCGGGCGCAAACTTCCACCACACACTCGTCAACAATAAGGCTAGCTGTCCCTGCCCGCTGCCATCGCGAGCCGAGCCGAAAAAAAGCCCCAGCCGAACCTGCACTCAGTCGCCGGGGCTTAACGCTTCCTAGCATAGGGGGGGTGGGAAAGAGAGTCAGGCCGAAAAAGAGAAGGAAAAAAAAATAGGGACTGGCCTCATCTCCGTCTGCGCCACACGGCGCACACTAGCCCGGCCTGGGAGCCCGGGCGGCGGGGCTGCTCAGACTTGCAGCGAGCATAAGCAGCACCAAAAAAAACACAAAAAAAAGCAGACTCGCGTCGTGTCGATGTGCTCACCTTGTCTGGGAGGACCGGGGCCGGCCGGACCGGAGGCGGGCTGGAGGCACGCAGGGCGCACGGCGCCGTGTCGGTTTGCTGTCGGCCGCGGAGTGGAAGCGACGCGGCCGCGGTGGACTCGGCTGGGAGAAATCGGGGAAATGTGAGAAAGCCCCCCTATCTTTCTCTGCGCCAGCAGTAGCCCATAACTGTCGTCAGGAGGCGCCAGTGCGGCGCGTTTTTACGTTCCATATGCGCATGCATGCATGCCGAGGTCCTCAAGAGCGACCGTATATTCCTGCCGCGGCTTATCTGCATCCGTCCTCTAAAGGCCGGGATTATGTGGAGCCTGACGTCCTGCCCGCCTCTACTCTTCTAGCAGTGTGATTGTTTGGAATGATCGTGAAAGTTTTAATGATTTCCATTTCTCGTTAAAAAAAAAAAAAAAAAAAAAAAGTGCTCCGGGGCAGGCGTGATTGATTTGTCACCGCAGCACACAGTTTACGCACCAAGGCCCCACTGCAACATTTAAAATGTCTACATCAGTTTGGAATCCAGCACCTAGATACGAAATCAGATACAATACCCCCACTTAAAAGCTATTAGAATATATAAATCATGACTCCTAGGAACAAAAACATCCTTCACAGTGATGATTATATGACTGATCTTATCAGGCATTCGGAGCAGCATAATGTCTCCCTGGACCTCATGTTTATACATCAGAACCATCACTTCCTCCAGCAAAAATATTATGAAAATGTCTCTGAAATGTAATGAGACACCTAGACATCTACTGACCTTGTGACTCATGAGGTTGATGATTGTGATCATGAAGTGGTCAAATCCAGGACAAAGCCAGCCTTTAAAACTCTGATGTCCCATCCATGTCACATGATACACAAGACAGGATCACATGACTTTATAAAGAAGGTGATGCCCCACGAAGATTACTTCCTTGTCCTACTAAGTAGGAGGAAGGCACACATTGTTTGCCTCCTTAAAAGAAAACAAGAGGTGAGGGTCAGAATAGTTTCCAGAAGAACAAGATCATAGAGTAAGCAACTGACTCATACCAATAAAAGTTTGTCCAAAGGACACCCAAAATGTTGGGGGAGTGTAAATATTTTCAAATTGGAATGGGCTCAAAAGACAACTTCCTCAGCTCCCCAGGACTGTTTCTAATCTCTGACTCTGACTCCGCAACCTCCCTTAGAACTTAAGTAAACATCCAGGATTTAAGGCCGTGCCGTAATCTTCAACATCCTTTGCCTCTCTAATTGGAATTTCTCACAACAAAGACACCTCGACCTGATTCCAACCACGTGGATGGATAAACTTTAAGTGGACGACACAATTGGTTTACACAAGCTCACATACACCTGCCAGTCAGCCGTTCACTCATGAACTAAGAGGCTGAAAAATAACTTGCATCCTTTGTCTATTTTGAGTAAAAGTAACCCCATCCAAAGTCTATCAAAAATGGATAAGATTGATCTTAATTGAATACACTGTATCATAAAATAACAGAATGATTATGTTAGAAATGAAAATTAGCGTAATCCCAAATGTTGTTTACCATTCATGAAGGAAAACACAACACCAACAAATGTACCGTACTCCTAAAATGCAGAGGCCAGATTTCCTTAGACTCCTCAGTAATCACTGCCCTGTATTTCTTTTAAAACCAGCTACAGACACGGCAAGATAGTGACAGATTATTTTAATCCAGAATCCGTAACCAGGTTAAGTAAACAAGTTACTGTAAACAACTCAGTTTAGTCAGACTCAGATATGCGTGGCAGGGAATATTTGATTGGTCAGCTTTTAATTAAAAACGAAGAAGCAACTAAAGCTTAAGTTGTAAAATACATTTTTAACCTGCAGTTTTTTTAATTTACTCATCTGAGAATGTAAAAAAACAAGTGTATCATTGTAAAAAATAATAAATCTGTCTAAATTTCTAGTTGTTGGGTACTATTTGTAAAAGTAACAAGTTTGGGAAGGTGTTCCTTCTCTTGGTATGAAGATGACTTATGTTTGATTCGGACAACTATATTTTCTCTAATTAGATTTCGTTTTTGCAGTTAAAACCTGACTTTTACAGTTTACAGCCCTTTAATCCTGTGATATGATCATAACTAAGACTGTTCCTTGAAATAGAGCGACACCACAAGGTGAAACCTGGGTCTTCGTCGCGGTGCATTCTGGGTTGTGACGCGTCTCGCGTCCGTTGTTTGGCCCGCTTCTCTCGCTCTTTGCAAAATGGCGACTTCCCTAGGATCCAACACCTATAATAGGCAGAACTGGGAGGACGCGGTACGTGGAATCGTCTTTGTAATTCATATAATAACGTCTGTGACTGAATGGGATTTTTGCTTGGGTGATATTACGAGACTTGCTGGGAGAAATACATCTGCAAACTATACATTTGGAAGCTAGTTAGCTTTCCGCTAGTTAGCGTTGGCTAATTGTTGAAGCGTGGCTGCATTCTGGATTAGCATCCATTGATAATCACACAGTGGATGTACATTAAACATAGACAACGGGCTTATGATTGTTTCATTTGGCCGTGATTGCTTGCCACTGTGTAGGTTACGTGCTTTTTACCAATATTGACCCAAACAGAAGCAAACAGCTGTGCTAATGTTGGCTATTCCAGACTAGCATTAGCATGCTAACAATGATAGTTGTCGTGTTATATGTTAAAGTCTCGAATTTATTTTAAACATGAGTCTAGTTAAGATACCAAGTAAATGTCCACTGTACAGCATTAGTAAGGTCCCCTGAGTTCTGATCGAGTAAAATGTTATCTAGATAAAAGGATAGCCTATGCTAACAGGAAAGCACTTCATCTGTTTCCCTGGCTAATGTCATCATTTCTACGAATAAAAATGGCAGCGTGTAAAGATTTACAACATAACTATTTTTTAAAGAAAATAACGTCAGCCACAATTGAACAGTCTGTTTATTACCTTTTTAGGTCGTTAACCGCTTTTTAAAAATACTTTCTACCTCTAAAGACGTCATAATTGGGCATTTAGCAGCAGCATCATCAAGCCTTTCAATAAGACCAATCCCTACCATACGAGGCAATAAATCAGGTTCCTCTATTGAGCTCAACAGGCCATTTGACATGCTGTTTTTTTTCTTCACATCATACTTAAAACGTTGTAACCCTAGAATATGTAGCTGACGTTTGAGCCTCTAGAGCTGCTTATATTTAGATGACGATGGATTAAAGGAAGGTCGTGTTCAGCAACTTGCACTTGGATTGAAACAGCATCCTTCAGCAGATGGCAAAGTGCGAGAGAGCAGGTCCGATAGCACTATGTGTATCCACACGTAAATTTGCCAAGCACAGTGGAAAATTGAGTTACTTCTCCCGAGGCCCTACACAGAGGGGAATGTTAGGCTAGTTACAGATACAGTGCTCGGTTTACCAATTATTCTCCCTTTCCTTCTTTTCCAGGATTTTCCTATTCTTTGTCAGACATGCTTAGGAGAAAATCCTTATATCCGTATGGTGAGTAAGCGTACCTGTGTCATTACAAATAAAGGTGTTTGCTGTCTGTGCCACACTGGGGTTCAATTGTACATATTTTTTTACAGACCAAGGAGAAGTATGGAAAAGAATGCAAGGTGTGTTTTTAGTCATATTCATGTAAAATGCATTGGAGATTTTCCATGAAAGGACATTTTAAATTCCCTTCCATCTCTGCCCATCAGATCTGTGCTCGGCCCTTTACGGTGTTCAGATGGTGCCCGGGCACACGCATGCGTTTCAAGAAGACAGAAGTTTGTCAGACCTGCAGTAAAATGAAAAATGTGTGTCAAACATGTTTGCTGGATCTGGAGTATGGTAAGACTTTCTGCATTTGCCTTTCCCGCTCCCATATCTTTAAACTCTGAGAATAACCTTTTATTTACATTATGCGTTTGGCAGGTTTGCCGATCCAGGTCCGAGACACAGGACTTACTGTGAAGGATGAGATTCCAAGGTCAGATGTGAATAAAGAGTACTACACACAGAACATGGAGAGAGAGGTATGATTATCTTTGTATTTGTTCAACATCCTCTAATCATAAGATCTCTTCATCTATATCTAGATATGACCTTTGTCTCATCTAACTTGATTATGTAATGGTCTTTTATGTTTAGCGGAATGTTTAAGATTGCAATAGCATTGTTTTTTATTCAGCTGCAGTGTTCTTTATCTAATCTTACATATATTGGCATATTTGTAGTTTCATCCTTGTCCTTTTGCAGATTGCTAATACTGATGGAACTCGGCCAGTAGGTCAGCTTGGTAAGGCTACTAGTTCTAGTGATATGCTGCTCAAACTGGCCAGAACCACCCCGTATTACAAAAGGAATCGGCCACACATCTGCTCCTTCTGGGTGAAAGGAGAGTGCAAGAGAGGGGAGGAGTGTCCTTACCGGTAAGTAGCACATGTCGGGTGTCATGAGTCAGATGTGCTTTGGATTCTGCACTGTGCACTATTCACATTCACTAAATGGGCATTCTCTTCTTTCGGGGATGTGGTTGTTTCCTGCATCTGATGCAAGTCATTGTGTTTGTCTCCAGGCATGAGAAACCCACAGATCCGGATGACCCTCTGGCTGACCAGAACATCAAGGATCGTTTCTATGGCATCAATGATCCAGTAGCTGACAAGCTGTTGAAGCGGGCCTCAACTATGCCCCGTCTGGATCCTCCAGAGGACAAGTCCATCACCACCCTCTACATCGGAGGTTTGGGAGACACTGTCACAGACGGAGATCTCAAGTAAGCATTTAATGCAAACTTTTTTTCCTTTCTTTTTAAAAAAAAATAACTTACAACTAGTCATTATTTAGTTTAATCTTTTATTCTTTCTATTGTGTCGTCCTTATGAAACCTTTAGATTTTTTTTTTAACACTGGAGCGTCTGTTTGTGTCATTGCAGAAGTCACTTCTACCAGTTTGGTGAAATTCGAACCATTACCATCGTCCAAAGGCAGCAGTGTGCATTCATCCAGTTTGCCACACGGCAGGCGGCTGAAATGGCTGCGGAGAAGTCTTTCAACAAACTCATCATCAATGGACGCAGGCTCACTGTCAAGTGGGGAAGGTAGGACTCTGCTTAACTCCCCTGGTGCTCACCACGCACAGCCACTTAAAAGGATGTGCTGTAATTTGCTTGTTAAATGCCAGGTGGTGTTCAGGGAGCATGAGTGTTTGTAACAACCTGAAGTTATGCCCCCATCACTGTTACTGTCAGTAAATTAGTGACTGTGGTGCTTTTACGAGGTGATCATTACTGACACTGGAATGGTGCTCCCGTAACGCTGAAACACTGCTGCACAGCACCTACCTGCAGGAGGATCTTCTCCTGATGTCTTGCTGCTGCACACCAATTTGGGATCTTTTAATTAAGTGATTTTCAATATAGATGCTGTGTTGTTACAGGTCTCAGGCAGCCAGAGGGAAGGACGGTGTCAAGGATGGTGTCAGTGAGATGGGTACCAGACTGGATCCTGTACCAGGTCTGCCTGGAGGTGAGTCTAAATAGTTTAAATATCAGTTTTTGTATAGAAAAATATAATTCACAATTTGTTTTTACATTTTTTTAAAGAAAAGTAATTTATTTGTATTTATTATTATTGTAATGTTTAATGTCTTGGATTTTGTTTGACTTCATACTTTGTTTGAAAATACCTCACCCTCTTTTCATGCAGAATAATTCAGGCAATTTAAGTAAAACATCAATTTTATTTCCCTCCATTTTTTTCCTCATACCAGCTTTGCCCCCGCCACCATCTCTTGATGAAGAAGCTCCTGCAAACTACTTCAACTTAGACCCAAGCTCCTCTCCTGCTGTCATGAATATAACTCTTCCACCACCTCCAGGCATCAATCCTCCTCCTCCCGGTAAAAACCTTGTTTGATCAGTTATTTTCTTTTAACTTTGGCGGAGACGATTCACAGCTCAGCTCGGATGGTAACCATATTGTTGCTTTCAGGCTTTGGCCCTCCAATGTTCCACCCCATGACTCACATGGCACCTCCTATGCCCCCACCTATGACGATGAGACCCCCAGGTACAATCCACTACCCTTCCCAGGATCCTCAGCGTATGGGCGCCCATGCTGCACACGGCTCGCGTCACGGTGAATAGCCGCTGCTGTGAAGTCGCGCTGTCATTCAGTGTCTTTCAGTCCCTTACGACAAACATGATGAGGTGTGTCTGCGTAAAGAGCTGCTGTGCTCAGGCTGAAGGACTGCTCCTGCCACGGCTCAGTTAGTTCTTAGTAATGCCACCTAGCAGGAACTGAATTGGATGAGCACAGCCTAAAGATGATGCTTTTGTCATTACTTAGATTAAAAAAGTAACGCAACTTAAACAGAAAAAGACTCTGGACATGAGACCTCTGGCCAGTGGGACCAGGACCACATGGAGCCGCTGTATATAAAGACCTGTATTTGTCTCATTTTGCATAGTAAAGCATGCAGAGCATTTTTAAACTCGTTTATTTTTTGGTTACATTGACCTTCTTCCCTTTTTTTCTCCATCTTTTTTTTCCTGAACAATCTTAATATTCCATAACCAAATTATTTAGGTTACTGTACTTTCTTTAAATGTTTTGTCATTAAAATGACTGTTTTGTCACTCGATCTCTGTTTTATTCATTACTATATAATTCACATATGCACCATATAATTTTTTCTGGTTGCTGAAGGAAAAAAGCCAGCGGTTGAAAGGACTGATCCTAAGTGGCAGCACTCTCCTGGGCTTCTCTGACCGTTCAAACTAATGATTCCATCAGGATTTCTCAGCTGGCCAAAACACTCAGCTATAACAAACCTTTTACATATAATGCAAGCGATTTATTCCCTTTTCCTGGAGTTCTATGTAATCAACAGAGGGCCTTTATGACCTTTTATATCAGTAGAACTCAGAGCTTCAGTCCTTGTTTTATCGTCGCCTCCTCATAGATCATTAGATTCCGGATTAAACCCGTTTCCCCATCCCCTGGGTGCTCTGTTGAAGTTGGGCCGTCTGCACATGCGCTCCAAAGTGACGCGGGGAAGGTCCGGGGTCTCCACTGCCTCAAATCCAATCACCGGGATCACCCTTTTGCTGGCCATGGTGCCCCCAAATGGCATTGGAGATCTGAGGGGAAATCAGAAAGTCCTCAACAGGCAGCCTGTAAGCACTTTGAAAGGCCAAACATGTGCTGTCTTAAACTGGAAGCCCTTCCCCTCCTCTTCTGTTGTGTTGCTGAGCGTTTGACTTCATATTTAAAGCTTTGTAATTTTGTTGTAATCCTAAGGATGTAAGATGATCTTTTACAAGGGGTATGGTTACAGTTTGGAAGCTTGGGTCTGTGTGACCGACAGCTTTAACTGAGTTAGGTTTAGTTTGTTTCTCATCAAGTCATTTGTCCATCTGCCTGTGTTAGAAATGTTTTCTACCTTTCAAATGTCACCCAATTTCTTTTAGAACGTGGATTGTTGTGCGTGATTTGTCTTGTTGGCTGTGAAAAGCCTGTGCCCTCCTCCCCGCCCCAAGTGGATCATCTGTCAAGAGCCAGGCTTCAAAATAGCCATCCCACTGCCTCTCTCCCAGGGAGGTGCTAGCCAGAGGCAGGATAGGTTTTCAAACTGTGGAAACATGGAGTGAAGCCGAGGGAAAAGCTGAGGGATAACCCAGTTACCCAGTTAGGTGCTCTCTGGGTCCGTTTGGCTGTAAATGAGTGGCTATACCCGCACATTAAACGCAAAGTGATCTCCCGAGCCTGTGATTTGTTTAAACGGAGCACAGACTGGTTGATTTACCTGTTGAAGCTCCTGTAGTTAGCAGGCTGTGGTCTTTGTGGGACCTGCGGCAGCTGGGCATTGACTGCATTTAGGAACTCTTCATTGGCTCCCAAAGCTTCCCTCCACGGGGAGCAGTAGGATTTTGGGATTACTGTCGTATTGAACCTTTCATGAGGAATATTCTTCAGAGGGCCAGAATAACCTGACATAGGTGAACAGAAAAAAAGGTGTTCCAAGTTTATGGAAAACATTCAGTTAAAAGCTACCAAAAGACTAAACATAAAGCAATCCTTAGTAAAGCACAAACAGATAAATTAGACATCTGAAGCTCTGATGTCACCACTGTCAACAATAGGAATGATGGTAATTTGATCCCAGTGTAAATCCCTGATTATAAACAAGGCTTAGTTTATCATCACTCAGACTATAAGCAGCACCTTCTGCCAGGCCAAATACTCATCAGCACTCAGCAAAGAAGCCTACAGATAGCTGCTCACCTCCCCTCCCGTGAGTATAAGGAAACTAATACATATGCTCAGTGGTTTTTCCACTGGAAAAGTGATCCCTGGCAGACGGGGCTGAAACAGTGCCCGAGGATTTCGCATTGCATATGTACTACTCAAGGCTCGCGACAGTCTGAGGCAATCCTCTCTCCTCTGCAATACCGTTTACCTGGAGCCAGGACATCCGGACTGCCCTTCTTCGCTACAGTCTTCTGAAGGTTCATGACCAGGCTGTGCTTACCAGGGATGGAGAAAGCCTGGTTCTCTTTTCCAGCTTGTGGATCTGATACTATCTCTGGGGGAGACTTTTCCTCAGACTGAACCTAGGAAACATGATGAGTGATAGATTTTGTGAGTGTGTTTAATGCTAAAATGACATCACAGTCACTGTTATATAAGAGATGCACTAGATTTACACATTTCAACATATGAGACAAATGTCTTGTAGGAATAATGTAATGATGGACTGTGCAGTCGTGCTACTTTTTAACTTTATATCTAAATACATTTCACATGTAGATATAACCCATATTTAGCCTTTTCACTTCCAGAGGGGAGTGTGTATCTTGCGTGTGCTCTGACTATGTTTAGATGTTTTGGGTTTGTTAAAGTTCCCTGATTAAAATTCACCAACAAAACTCAAATAGGCGTTATTTCTTATGCAGCACATCAAGCATTCCGAGATGCAGCTGTAATTGCTATTGATCTGAGCCCGGCGCAACATGTCAATCAGTCAGTGTAAGCGCAGGCTGACCTGGACTGCTTTTTTTTGTTTTGTTTTCTTGCTGAAGTAAGTCAGAAAAGCTGTTTGGGTGAATCTCAGCCCCCAAAAGAATAAAAAGCCATCTGCCCAGCAGACAGTGCTGCTTGAGCAAGCGCTGTCTTCATGGAAAATTGCTTTCTAGTGTTTAAAAATAGACTGTGAATTTGTTACTGAAGGCTCAGTCCATTATTGCTCTTTGTACCATATTGACTTTAATGGCTGATGTATGCTGTGCCCAAAAGCCAGTATTGGATTGTCTGTAAGGTGTATGGAAATCGTAGCCTGGTGCGTTATGTAATGCTTGCAGTGAGTTCGTGTGGGGCATGGCGAGCAACACGCCTGGGTTCCTTACATTTGTGAAATACGGGCCATTGGCAGTGTTCTCCAGTGTGAACCTCTCAGCCCGTTTCTGTCTCTCCTGAAACATGCGAGAGCCTCTGTTGGAGGTCAGATTGAGCTCCTCGATCATCACGTCTCTGGGAACGCTGATCTTCTTCCCCAAGTTAAGACCTTTTGCACAATACGTCAGACAAAAAGAGCAGATGCTTTTGGTCATTGGAGAGTCCTTAAGCCAAAATCACAAATAAGAGCAAGAGAATCTTTTGTGCTCAAAACTCCTAACTCAAAACTATCTCCCTAATATATACTTAATGAGATTCTGATGTTCATATAAAGATTTTGAAGATGAGGTAGCGTAAAAATATGGACCCCTGGCAGCGTGTCTGCAGCTCTGCTTGTTTCAGCTTCAAACAGCTCAAGAGGACTGATATGGAAAGCAAAACTACGTGCTGCATTACTAAATACCCATCATCGCTTTCGCTCAGGGTCTCTTCTCATGTTGTGGCACAGCATGGTGGTGGGTCGAAAATAGCCTCAAGATGATGTCAAGTGGTGTGTAATGTTTGTTGTGCTCCAGAGTTGCATGGGTAACTGGGCATATAAATAGGATCTTTGGATGAAAGACTTGTGTCAGAGCGGATGGCCCTTTTTACTCATACGTGATAAGTGTGGGGAGCGGTTTGGGCATGTGCCCCCCCTCGAGGAGCCAGCTTTGATCGGCCTGTGTAAAAATTCAGTGGTAGGAGTCACATTTTGCTGACTTTATGAGACTTGGTTTCAAAGCCTTTCTGGTAGACATCCGCTCGGAAACAAACAGTGCTGCTGGGATGGTCCATGCTGTGGTGTTTGGAGAAATTTGAACAACACACTGGCACTGTCTATTCATCTCCAAACGGCAGAGCAACATGCATGGAGATAAGGTTCAGTTATTCTGCTGAGCTGTGATCTTACAAAATGGTGGTTGATTAAAAGCACTTTTTCTTATCTTGTCTTACCCCCCCTGGCTTCCTGAGACAGGGCCTGAGCCTGCAACATCCTCTGCTTCGTCAAGTCACTCAGGCCTGACTGCATCATCATTTCCTTCTTCTTCTGATGGACACGGACACATGTCATGTTACAATCACCACAAATGTAAGTTAACGGATTTAGTGACGAATGGCAGAAGAATTAAAAGCCACGCTGACTATATCCAGCGCATATTTTCACCACAACCAAATGTAAATCTTTCCTATGCACTGTTACAGCCTCATGTCAGTACTTTTAAAAGCAAACTTTCTTACCTGTGCGCCTCTTCACCGTCTGGTCGAGGTCAGTTTGGTGGTTGGTAGATGCTTCCGAGCTCTACTCGGTCACTTCTCGGTAGGGACAGAACAGTCTGTATAAAACTCATCCCAAGATTCCTTCAGTGCTTACCTCACTGAGTTTATTTTAGCTGAGGGGTAGGAGAGTGAGGATGGATAGAGAGGGTGTTTGGGGGTGGTTATAAGAAAGCCATCAAGGGGAAGGGGCAAGTACAAAGATTTACATGCTGACCACAGGCTGCCATGATAATAAAACGTGGACGCTGTGTGTGTGTGTGTGTGTTAGCAGCAGCTGTCAGGAGGCTGATACACAGAAGTCGACCATCCAACTTCCATGCTGCAAACATAGACTCACATACACGAGCACTTTTGTAGGACCAGTTCTGAAATTGATTGAGGAAGCCGTCATGGGAAGTTGTGACCGTGTTTCCTTGTTCAGGGACAGAAAATGAACTCTGCGGCCGATTGCTGTTCCATTTTCTGACTGTGGGAGACCTTTGACATGCCTTTCTTCCAAAGCACTCAGAGTTATGGGCATCCGTGGCCTTTCAGTGATTCAGTGGGGTGACAGAGAATGCTTTAAGGTGTTTTTTGTTTTCATTTATTCATTGGGTTGGAGAGAAACTCTGGCTACAGAATGGGAGATGATTTTATCCAAATTCTTTTGTTTCGCCCTGTAAGTAATGACCTTTTGAATTTATATTTAGTTGCCCTTTTTAAAAGCAATGGAGATTTTTATCATGCAGCTTTTTCCCTCAAATTGATCCACTGAGCTTAGCGGGGGCCCGATGGGGAGAACATTTTCTTTACCCCTGCTGAGATTAGATATCGATTTTGCACCTGCCCAGCTCTGCAACACCACTATCTCTCAGCAGGACACCTCGAAGCCACTGAAAAAAAAAAGTGAAGTCATCCCGAGTCAAAGAAAATCATCTGCAGATTCAAAAGAGAAGTTGCAAAATCCCTGCCCAATTCAGGTTTATTTGAAGGTCTTTGTCAAGAGGGAAAAGCAATTTTGCTTCATAGAAAAAGGCAGAGCAGTTTGTGACTGTTTTTCAACAAAGAACATTTCAGCTTTTGTGCAGCTCTGCTTTTGTGAAGAGAACAAATGCCACTTCCACTTCGGTTTCCTCCAAATATTTCTTTCAAACTACCCATAACTTTGTGTTATTGTGTGTTAATTGATGATTCAGTGGCCTAGAAAATCTTTCCCTGGAAAATGACAATGTCAGGACAACAAGATGAATACAGAATAACCACATTCTGTCACCAAAGGTTTCATTCAATGCTTTTTGCAACAATGCATTTTTATACAATTTAGGATTATACTTAAGTGTGATTACCGTTGTCAGCTGAAACTATTATGATGGGCCCATTTCGTTTTTTTCAAGTTTGCTGATGTTTTTACCTTCTATTTGAAATGGCAGTGATAGGCCTGAATTATACAGCATACAATAACTGCCATAAAACAGGCAAGACAGATAGTTGCCCTAATTTATCCAAACTAGAAACAATCTGTCTAACCTCTCGCTTTCTCTCAGAGTATTAGCAGCTGTATGAAACCATATCCCAATTAATATGATGTATGGGGTAAATGTGGGCCAAAATCGAGCAGGATTTTGTTTTTTGTTTTTGTTTTAACCCCTGCCTACACTGGGGTTAAAGTAAGAATCTCTTTAAAAATTTAAATTAGACCAATCTAAGCTTAGTTTTCTTATCCACTGCCTTGGCAAACATTTGAAGTGTTCCCATGCATGTAATTGTTCTTTTACCTACATGATCTCACATGAGGGCTCTTTGTACTCCTAATCAAAGTAAAAAAAACAACAAAGCTTTAAAGGGCTTCTTTTGTAAAGCCATCTTTTTCTACAGATCTATTTAATATTGGTAATTGGATCTCCGGAGATAGCTTGTCCAGAATGTCAGTAAGATACAAACAATGATGCTTATTTCCAAGTTGAAAGCATCTTCTGTAGGGCAAGTTAGAACCCATTTCACTAACTAAACACGTTAAAAATTATGGATGCATTTATTTTAATGTCTAGGTTATTATCTACATTATGATGGCAAAATAAGAGCTGTTTTTAACATGCAGCAGTTTGTGAGGAGAGACATGCAGCCCATACTTTTCCCTGTAGGTCAGGTTAAAGTTGGGATCACTAAGGAGTTGAGGAAGAATAGTTTTGAGAAATATTTGAAACTGATATAACTGAGACAGGAGTAATATCAAAGGAATATTCTTTAATTGCCATGTGTGATGCAGGGAGAAGAGTGATTAGAAATGGAGTCGCTGTTATCATGTGAGGTGCTCTGTGGTTATTTTGTGTATTCAGCTGAGCTTTTTTTCTTTTGCAAAAAATGTGAATAGTATTTTTCCTTGAAATAAACACCTCTGGATCATATTAGAGCCACTTAAAGAAATCTTACCAATGCAGGGAAAAGACCAAGAAAAGGATATTGTGGGAGACGAGAGCCTACTTTAGCTGCAATCTCATGCCAGCTCCAGCACGAGAGAAGATGTTAACAGATTTTTCCTAATGAAGGGTGGAATTACATGCAGGCAATAACAGATGCAGGGTTAGACCATCACACGGCGCACCATAAAAAGAGCTTTGTTGACATGGGAGTCCACACTCAGCACTTTGAACATAACTGGCAGACGTTCAAGGCTGAAGTTTGGAGGGAACTTAGAGACGGCTCCACCAGACGTTTAAAGGAACATTTAAAAATAACGCAGTGGGAGTTGGGGCTGTGTAGGAATGTTATATTTACTGTGTTTTTTAATCTTATGCTGCACTAGAATGATTTGTTTTATTACTGTAACTGAAAAGCAAGATACTGGTTTGTGACCTCCCTCGTTGGTGGACAAAAATCCGAAAAGACTTTCATGGTTTTCACATTTAACCTGAGAGATTGCGCATTGCAGTGATAGTCCTAAATTGTTAACCAATGTATTAGCAGCATTAGGAAAACATGTTCAAATGTACAAACTCTAACATTAAACATCAGGATTTCCTAAATGTTTTTCCTTGTTGGCCTTCAGATGATCCCATTCTGGCAATATGTAAATGAAATCAGCTAAATGAAGTTGTTCCAAGTTCACATTGACATTCATCTTTTAGCACAGAATTCATATTCTCTCCAGACTTTTTCTCTCTGCTTCTGGGCTTCTGGAAGTCAACGGGGGAGACCTGTTGACATACTGAGTTTGAGAGATCCACTCCTGACAGGAGTAAAACACAGACTGCGTGGAGCGCCAGCAGATGTCAGGTCGTTTTGTCATCCCACCGGGTAAAATGTCCACAGCGAGACACAGCACCATGTAGATGTGCTGGTATAAAGTAACACCATGAGCATGTTTGAGGCATCACTGGTACCTGTGTGTAGTTCTGTGCACAATCCTTTCACATTATTACCTTGTTGACAGAAAAGAAAATCTCCTTTATCAAGGGCCTCTGTGGGGGGAGAATGATTTCACACATTACAAAGGCAGCCATTAGAGCAACAGGCTCACTCTGCAATTAGTTGATGAACTCCTGGGGTTTGCCGAGACATATGGCTTTGACAGGAACCCCAAGGGGACAAGAGACAAATTCAAACTGTCATAGCTGGAACGTTTTTCTTAGGGGAAAAAAATGGGCACACACAAGTTTGTGAATTTATTGTGTTCTTCTGTCAGTGACTCGGTCGTCAGGCACCGGGTTGGATGTGCGTTGGTCTCCAAAACCTAGTTTAGCTTTCAGCCATCGTCTGCCTGCAGGAGTCTGCCACTTGCTGTCACTCCACGCAGCAGGTCTGCGTCAGGGGTTTGGAGGTGACTGTCACGCTGGAAAGCCAAATGAAAGCTCCATACTTAGTCTCTTTTCACACATTGCATGCTCTACTTCAACAAACTGAAGAAGCTACGTGAACGTGGGTCCGCTGATGGATTTTTTAGAAGGAGATCAGACACTGAGATCCATGTGGAGGTGATGATCATATCTCACTGTGAAGTTAACCATCATGGGAAACGGTAAAAAAAAAACATTTACTCAAGTCTTCCTGAATGGTATGTTACCTTACTGACAGTGACTTCAGATTGAAAAACTTGCCATCATGCTAAAGTCCTTCTTATAAGTTACCACAACTAAAAAGATGTATTTGTCGGCACACACTGAACTTCAGGAAATTAGCTTACCACTGTGACAAAGGAGGTCAAGGAGTTAATTTCATACCTGTCGTGAAAACAAATCATGAAAAAGTCTAGCGCAAAACCTGCTGAAAGGTATTTGATGCTGGCTCTGCTGAACAAGCCTCGCTCCCTCCTGTGTTTTGTGAGGCTAAATTGAACTAATTAGCTTCTACACTCAGCTACCTTTTGAATATGCAGACAACAGAAAGTGGTATTTATGTTTTCATCTAACTGCTACTTAGAAAATGAAAAAGCATCCCTCTGGAAATGCCAGGCTATCCTTTTCAGAAATGCTAAATCCATTAAATGACTTTGGAAAATGGTGCTGCAATTATCTCCCGCTGAAATCTTAAAAATCCCCTCTAAATGCTTATCCTCTTGGCATCGGCTTACTCCTACCTCATGGAGTTACAGTGTAAATGCAATGGAGAGTTGGGATTATTTGAGTGGCTGCCTCAAACTGCATGCACAAATCAGGTACATGCCAGAGTGGGAGTCCCATCGTCCCCCCGTGAACCCCCGGGGATGGCACCACTTACAAACACACACATCCACATACAAAGACCTTTATTAAAAGGCTGCAGCTGAAAAGTAAAACATTCTAAAAAAAAAACTGTGAGAGCTAAAGTGAATCACGAAGCTGGAAATAAAAGCCTGGGCAGTGAGTCAAATCAGAGGCCCGTTCTAGCAGCACTTACCATGCATGAAATGAGCTGCTAATTAGCTTGTAATCAGACAGTGCAGCTCTTGTGAGCCTAATGGGGACGCATTTGCAACTGAGAGTCTTTTCCACCAAGCGCATTACCAAAATATCTCTCTTCTCTTGGAAAACATTTTTTTGTGCAAGCAAAATGCCCTTCTGCCAATATCGATCCCACAACTCAAATGTTAAATGCCACATAGCACAGCTTGCATTATTGAAGCTGCAGCTATCTAAAAATGAGATGGCCAATCATGACAGAATCTGGGGTTAAACTATTGATTAGCTTTTTCTCTTTGAGCACACAGGGCTGGTGAAAGGAGCAGGTTCCCAGTGCATTTTCAGAGTGCAGTCATTTTACTTTGAGGACATTTGGGGCCATTCTTTCAGAACAGATTGACTTTAGTTGAGATACAAGACACAAACTGAACACTCTGGGAAAAAAACACACTGAAGAGAATAGGGAGTTAACCTTACGTTTGCATGACAAGAAGTTATCAGTCTGCAAAAGCAGCAATGCATATATGTATAATATATTAACACAAATTCCCAACAAAGTCGCATTAATATATTTATCTATTTCTTTGGCCATATTGCTAAATGAATAAAAATCAGGCTCAGATTCAGGTCATTAAAACAACACATTAACTCATGGCTGAAGTTTCAGATCATCCCTCTGCTCTGTGAAATTGCTGATTTTTTTAATGCGGCTTCGTTGGAAAAAGTCATGATTCAAATTAGAGTTACAGACACCTAAGTTGCAGATCATTTGACTTTACTTAAATCTTAACTGATTTTTCAAGGAGAAAGTTAGGCTCATGGGACTGTTGGAAAAGAAGGGTTGAGCTATAGTTCCAGTGAACTGTGCTCGTAAACATACACGGAGCTGAAGGCACCCCGGTGAGGATCATTCTTAAGACACATGTAAAATCGGGCTTTGCAAAGGATTAGCAGGTCTGACACAGGATCCTGAGGAATTTCTGTCAATATTACATGAAGGGCCGTGGTGATAGCGTGGGTTATTACAGTATGTGGAATTCATATACGTATAAAACTCATTAAAAAGAAGCATCATCCCTCATATGGTTCCCTCTAATTGGCCCCAATTAACAGGAGTGGAAAGTGAGATCAAAGACATCTATGGTGGAGAGGGGAGTAGTTGTCAGAAAAGCGTGATATCATGGCACTAAGGAGTTAGGAATTCTATAATGAGACCTAATTTGAAACTTTAAGTCATGCATGCACTGAATGTGTTTAAAATAAATCCAACCGTCCGCAAATTCTTCTTTTTTTAATCTTGTACCAACCAGAAGATAAAGAGAATCTTTTTTCTCTTGAACATTGCCAATCATCATTGGGCAGCCAAACATACATGCTTAAGTCTTTACAAGTCCCCAAATCCCCCCGAATTCAGTCAGAGATGTTCTGCTTCAGTAGCACCGAGTCTCTTAAAATGTTTTTTTTTGTTTTTGCTCAGAAATATACACACACTACCAGTAATATATGTGTGTGTATGTGTGTGTGTGCAGTCTCCTTTTGCGGGCACTATGCCGGCCCCCTCCTCAGTGATGCGGTGGGATTTACTTGCCCATCATTTGCACTCAGGTGGTGTATATGCACATGTTGTTTGACACACTCGGTGAGCACACACTCGGCCCATCATCTTTGAGTTTCTGGTGCAGATTTCCAATTAATAATGCACTTTATATATGCAGGCTCCTGTTCCAGCACAAGTGCATTCAGAGTGTGTTCAGGAGCACCCAGTGTCCTACTCATGACAACTTTGACATAATGAGCTCCAAATATAACCTCATCATACTCTGGAAGGGCAATAACATGAAGATATATGTATGTATACAATAATGCATCCTTCAGAAAGTGCTAATTCAGCTCTGCAGCGCCATCTATGAGCACCTTAAGGAAGTTATTGCAGCTTCAGAGTAAGGGGTATTGTTATCATTAAGGCCAAGAATAAAACTGTTACCATAGCGACGCTGCCTTCATTACATGTAATGGACCAATCAGGTAAACATCAATCAAACATAATTCAGCTGTAAAACTCACAGGAGTAGATGCATGTCATGGGATTCCTATTTAGTGTCAGCATGAGACCAAGACTGACACTTTTACTGGTGTAGATGGAAGTTTCACCCCTTTATCAGCAATCAGTCAGAATAAACACTAAATTAATTAAAAAAGTTTAACAAAAAAAAGAAAAGAAAAAAAAACTCATGATGTTTTGGGCCTGGGGTGTCAGCACACTGAGTTAGACTGTTGATTTGTGGATTTATCATCAGGAATAACTTTGTGGCTGTACATTCAGTGACAATGTACACAAAAGGAGCTGAGTACATGTGCCTACCTGTAACCAGAACGAATAACTTGTCATCGGGGGATTAAAAATCCTTTCATTTACTTCCATGAGAGATATTGGGCCCCTGAGCTTGTGTCAGTGAACATTTGTGCTTCGTCTATGAGGGAATCTTTAAACAAAAAACCCCTAAACCTCTCCTTTGCTTCTTTTCTAACCTTCATCTTTCGTTGAAATGTTAAAACCAGGATTCACTGGATGAAAGGAAAAATGGATGATGGAGAGAATGTCACTCCACGATTCACTCCAGGATTAGGATGACTGTTTGGGTGAGAATTAATATCTGGTTGTTGCATTTAATCTGATATTCTATACCTCGCGACTTTGCAAGTTGTCACAGTTGCTTCACAGTTGCTGACGTGTTGATAGTTTAACTGCTGAATTGTTTACAGTGAAGTCTTTCCTGTGGATTCTATGGCTCCAATTGCTTTATAAAACCACCATGTGTGCTGTGTTCTATTCACCATGACTTCATGATGGCATCCAAACCTGCAGTCGTTCATGCCACACCTAATTATTTTTTCAATCTACAATCCAATCTGACAAAAAAAATACTGTGAATCTGATGGTGGGTTAACTCTGTCTTTTCCCCAGTATTACTTTCTATTTTTATTGATGTTTTAATTTGACCATTTGGCTGGTAGCAGTGTTTCCGTAGCTCACACAGAGATGCAGTTACTGAGCGTTACTTCTGCTGCTCAGCGGCTCAAAGCACTCTCAGATGATATGTTTGTCCACAAACGAGAACGTAAGGGCTGAAATGTGTAATGACTCTGAGAGGGCATGAATTGCACATAAAACTCATCAGTGCTTACCGGGCTAGCTTGAACAGCTCGTTAAAATCTCTGTTAACTTTATAAGGCAGCAGATGCACGACTCATCCCTATTCAAATGTTTTTAAAACTCGAAAAGAGATTTTCAAAAACTTTACAGCAGAGCTTTTGCAAAAGTTTGTTGAGACTCAAAGTAGTGATGAGGGATGCTAAAACCTCTGTTTCTGTGTCCTGTGGGCGACAGACCGTTCCACTTAAAAACACTAGATTAGCTGCATCAGCCTTGCATAAGTTAAAATTATTGCTGTGTAGTCTTCTGCCTGCTTTTATCATGCACATCTGATTGTGTACAACAGGGATTTTTAGAAAAGTGTTAACCATTAAACGATGAAAAAGATCTCAGATACAAAACAGAAACCGTTTGTATCAAATATGATAAATGTGGTGTTATAAGGTTAAACCAAAGCAATGGCACAAATCGTTGATATTTTCATATTTTTTATGTTAAAATGGGTTAATTGCTGGATGGCCTTGCAAAGCACAAGCTCCTTAAACTCCTGCACTTTTGGTTCTGCAGCACTTTGCTGATGTGTTGTGACCTTCATTCTGATTGGTCTCTATCCCTCTCCTCTCTATCCTTCATCTTTGATGTGTCGACTTATTTTTCTGCATCAGCTGATGGAATGATGAAATCGTTTGTCGTCTCAGTGAAAATAAATGGAGATCGCTGCAGAGCACAGTGTGGATCCATTTGTTGTTGTTTTTCTTTATTCATAAACATCTACGTTCACATTCAAATTGAAATGATCATACACTTTACACGCTTTCATTGAACATAATTTTACTTGGATAGAGGTAACGCCCACATATATTTTATCATTTGCGTGCAGGGTTTTTTACACGTTGCCTAAGCTCTTGGATAAACTTGCAAGAAAGAACTTAAAAGTAAATATTTTGTTTCAGTTTAAAATGCATTGCAGTCAGTCATAAGTCAATATATAATCACATCAGAGTTTAATCATCATTGTACATAACGTTTTGTAGTCTAAAATGTCAAACAGTGTTCCCTACTGGCTGTTTTTCTGGAGAGTTGTACTTAAAGGTGGCGTCCTCAGGATCTTGGTAGTTTTTGATTGCTGTTTTTGGGTCATCAAGCAATGAACAGATGTAGCTTTCGAAACACATGGCACAGAAGGAAGCCAAGAATGCCAGGATGATGAAGCATAACGTGAAGAGATCCAGGAATAAATTCCATTCCATGTATCCATCCCACCGTGGGAGACGTGTGGTTTTGAGCTGAAGGCTGACAGGTGAAGGGGTAGCCTCGACAATGGTGGACAACAGTGGATTCGCAGAGGCCAGGTGAGTGATTGATGGCATCTTGGATGCGCTTCTCTCCAGTGGGTCAGGATGATTAAATATTCTCCTGCAGAAAGAAAAGGACAGTGACTTTTTTCACGAAGAGACGTTATTAATGCATTGTAAGCAAATAAGATAATGTGTTTCTCATTAATTTTAGTATAATAGAATGCCAGGATGAATGAATCAGTCAGAAAAATAAAATGTTATTCATCACTAATTCTGTTAAACAGTTCACACATCGCTGATTCAAGTAACATCTTTACATACAATGTACTTCTAATATTCAGGTTATTCCTCTTTGTGTGTTTTATCCTTACCTGCAGTGTATTGTTGCAGTGTTTCTGTCCAGTCTCTCCGTACAGGACTGAGGCTTTCTTTTGGTAAGCAAAGCTTGGGAAAATGACAGAAATGGGGGAGAGCTGGAGGGAAGAAGAGAAGTAGCTGAAAGACCACAAATAATAGGCAGGGTTGCCAAAGCAACGGTTGCTGAGGGGCCACTAACGCAGGAGTGACATCATTTCACCTCAAGATTGTGTTTTATACTCTGGAAATTAAAATAGGTGTATTTTCTTAAGCCAATGGTAGAGGAATAAGTGTGAAATATGTTCCCATTCAGCCTGTAGTCTTGGTCAATAAGATGGATTCAACAAATGAGTAATCTCTATGATTTAGTGGAATATCCTGTCAACCTGATGTCTGAAATGGCAAAGAAAAATCTAAGGAGTTAAAGTAGGTTAAGTCTCCTATTTGTGGAAAGCAAATAGAGACTCCTTGGCAGCTTTGAGACAGGTCAAACCCTCCAGTGCAGCCAGCTGTTGGCTACAAACGCACCACTATGCACACCGCTTGGTCACACAATATAATAAAGACCCCTTCTTCACAAGTCGTAATTGGTTGCGGCACCTCCTGCTGTTCTCTATCAAACAAAGTTAAAGCCCAAAGTGGGACTTGCTCCAAATTTTAGTTGCCATAGAAACGACTTAATTATTCATCCGACGTTCAGTAATTTTATAAACACCTAACAAAAAGCCCAAAAAGCATTTTTTTTGTCCAAGAGAATGCATAAATACCAGGGAAATTGGCAAAAGAATTGATTTGCATAATTTGACGGTGAAAAGAAGACAGAATAAAGCCTGTCATCTGATGTGATTTTAGAGTGCTTTCAGGTGCTTAATTAAAGCTCCAGACATTAGAAATAAAGGATTCATTACATCAAAATGCAGATTAACAAATCCAAATGGAGTCTGAAAGGATGACTTAGCATATACCAAGGTCAGGCAAAAGGGGACAAACGGGAGAAGAATGATCCCAGGAATGTGTGGGCCTGAAAACCCGCAGGGTCTGAAGGCTGCCCTCCTAGGAGAGACGGACTGACCAAGGAGGAGCTCTGAAATCAATGATTTGAAAAACCATTTGCAGATCTCAGAATAGATAAGATGTGGGATTTCTCCTCAGGTCCTTCACATGAAGCAGATCATTTGTTTTTTTGCAGGAAGAACAAACGGCGGTCACAGCTGGTTGTGAGGCTCCTCACACGGCTGATCGTCTCAGTGAAAAACGACACTGACAGACAGACAAGCTGCTGCCAGACAGGCAGCATGCAATGTAATATTCCAGAATTAACATATAAAACGTCTGAGGCGAAGTTTCCCAGCTTCTCATTTGTTACCTTGTTCTGCCATGCCGTATTTAATCACAACTTTCTGATTTTCAGTTTGTCTCCTCCTCACAGTAAAATCAAAATGCTTATCGTTGCAGAGAGAAAATAAGGAAACAGTTCGGCAGAAGCAGATTGGCTTGGTATTAAAACCATTGTTACTCATATCATGTGAAGAAATGTTGAGGTTTTCTGTTTCTCTCCGCCAGCTCTTGGAGTGTTTATTTGGCCATTACTGTGCTGGTCCTACTTGTACATGTTGGTAATGTCCTTGTTCTGGGAATTTTGGAAAAAATTTTTAGAATGTAAATGAAAAAAATGATTGAGCATTTCTGAATAAACACTAAACATAAATAACATGACAAATGAAGTAAAAAATTGTTCCAATTACCTGAACGTGGCAAATAAATGGGAGCAAAAGTTGGGACTAGGGAAAAAAGGCCAGAAAATAATCTGGAAGAACATGTTGCAATGGATAAAGTTAACAGGCAGCAGGTCAGCAACACAACTGTGAGTAACTGTGAGCAACTAAGAGAGGTAGACTCCCTAACATGACAAACAGCAGAGGTCCAGCAGTATGGAAAAGTACTACATTGACAAATTATCAAGCAATTTCAAAATATCATGGTGAGTTTGATTAAGAGTATAATGAAAAAGGATAGACGCAATGAATTCACTGCAATGGCTCATTTCCAGAAACTTCTATTTGTGAAAGGAACTCACTGTACCATCCACAGCTCTACCATGAAAAAAAGACACACCGGTATGTAAAAAAGATCCAGAAGCTGAGCTGTTGGGCCAACATAATTTGAAATGGACTGAAGTAAAATGGGGAACTATTCTGCACTGACATGATTTGAAATTCATACCTCAGGAGGAAGAGGAGAGGGGAGATCCAACTTGCTATCACCTCTCACTTTAAAAGGGGATCCTATGTGGTCGCGGTACTGGGTGCATAAATACCTTTTTGACTGGCAGTTAATGGAAAAACTCCGTCAGCATTGCATGATTTGACTCAAATCTTTAAGACGATGTCTTCAGGGCAGGCCGTACACATTTCAGCAAGGAAAAGACAGACCGCACACTGCACCAGTCAACAAGCATGAGCTCATAAAAGCAGAGAAGACAAGGAGTTCAATTTTGGTTTATGAGATCAGCAAATCATTGCATTTACATTTTTTGGTTACTTGAGTTGCACACATGGTTGCATTTGAACCTACAACAAGAAAACAAAATCACATTAATAACTAATCATTTTATTTTCAAAAATATTGACACACACGCATGAGCTCGAAACAAATAAAACAGATGTCTATTTAAATTGACAATCTGCTTTTGCGTGGCTACTCACTTATCTTAGTTGCTTGAGAAAGTACACATATTCACCAGACAAGAATGATTGAGACATCGGGAACACAAACTTACATGTTCAGGAATTATGAATAAACAAATGAGTAACTAGATCTAACTAAAGCAGGAGTATCAATGTATGTTAGCTACATTTGCAAAATATGAATAAAAATGACACAAATTGTAAAAACAATATTATTCAAATCTATGTGGGAACATGACTGTGCCAGAGATGTGTTTCTTTTTTATCAAGTGTAGCCGGTTCTCTGTTTAACACTGGTCAGCGTTGTCTGGGCTTGTGTTTCACTTCTTTTTGTTCACAATGTTGTTGCAAATCCAGTTCATGCCATCCTGTAAAAGAGAAGCAAGAATTTATTCATTTGAGTGGTCACCTGTCTGACAATCGAACGCAAAGCGTCTTACGGAGCAGCTTCAAGGCCTTCAGAGAAAAATGGTTGAAACTGCTTTTCAGTACAATGCTGAACAGCAGAAAAGAACAGGGAGGCACCCTAATGTGGCTGATTAAGTTTGAGCTGCCGGGGATATAAATAAGTCAGTGTCTGGTCTGACCTGAACTCCCTCCCCAGACACCGCAGAGCAGGCTTGAATCTGCCACTCACGGTCCCGGTATGTATGCAGGTTGAGTCCTTCAGCAATCTCACTGGCCGGTGAAGCCGTGGCCAGATCCTGCTTATTAGCAAAGATGAGCACTGGTACTCCCTTTAAATTCTCCTCGTCAATCAGCTCGGACAGCTCCTGCAGAGACACCGTGAGTCAGTTACTGAAGAAGTGTGATAACTCCACCGCAAGGGGACACTAACAGAGAAATATTCAACACGCATGCATGTTTTGGAATTTGAAAATACATATGAAGCATTATCTAAACATTATCTAATCAGCTAAATGAAGGGATGCGTCAATTTCAAAAATGTTTCTTAATGTTGGATTTTCTGATTGTACAATGACAAGATTTACATTTTTAGATTTGACCAGTTCATAAAATCAGAAAAACTGTCTTCCGACAACCAGAAAAAACCCCATCTTTGAACTTTTGATGACATATTAAGAATTGAGATTCCATCTGAGACTTTTTAGATAGATTTTTCAGATGAGCTGAGTTGCATGTTGGTATGTCCGATAAACATTAAGGTGTTGGATATTGTTTTTTCAAAACTCTTAAAAGACAATATGAAGCAAATAACCCAGAATCTAAAAACTGATGCGGTTTTACAGTCAGAATGTTTTTGCAGGCTCACCAGTCCCGTCTCCTCAAACCGCTTCTTGTCTGCGCTGTCAATAACGTAAATCTAAAAGGCAAAACATAATGCATTGATTTTATTCCAATTTTTACTGGAGGGTAAAACTCAGATTTCATGCAAGAAATGTTATCTGATTGGCCTCAACATTATACATTTTTACACATGAATTCACGATAAAGGCAGAAATCTTTATAAAGTAAATTAAGTGTTAATTAGCACCAGAGAGCAAAACCGATACACAAAAAAGGGAAACTGTAACGTTGTCCGGATCATTAGGTATCAACTCTTCAGTTCAGGAGAAATTTAAATATGAAACTCCAATTAAACAACTCACCAAGAGGTCTGTGTTTTCCAGGTACTTCTTCCAGAAGGGCCTGATCTTTCTTTGTCCTCCAATGTCCCAGACATTGAGTTTCATGCCATGAGAGGCAACACTCTTAATGTTGAAGCCCTGAATTATAGCACAAAGTAAAAGAAAAAAAAACTCAGCACTGGGTTAATTTTAAAACTGTTCCAACTCACCCGGAAGGCCTGATTAAGCCGTGAAATAAGTGGCAATGTTCCACAAAATTAATTTAATCACTAATCACTGTTTGGCTGCTCTCAGATAAAAACTTGTTACATGAGAGAACGAAGTGTGCTTTAGGTATTAATGTGGATGTTGTCAGTGTGTTAATCCACAGTCGTTTTTCATAACACATCCCCTCAGTGTTTCGTAGGGCAAAGTTGTATAACAACTTTATCCTTAGGAGCAGCTGAGGAGCAAATCTGAGGATAAGACCAGAGGGATCAAGTCAAGTGTATGGACTAATGTGTCAAGTCTGATTTTGTGTTGTGGCGGCTAGTGACATGTCGCACTGAATCATGCCATCTCTCCCTGTGGGGCCGTCACACTGGTCAAGGAACTGGGATCCATTAGTTATCGTAAAGGAGTCAGAGAATGATATTAGATGATGAAATTAGATACTGAATGGTTACATCAGAGAAGAGTCAGTAAAAAACAAAGAGAACCTGCCAAAATGCCAGGAATTTCCAAGAAAAGCTGGTGGGAGCCTGGGCCTTTTAATGACTATAGTTGTTAAAATTAGCAAAGCTTAAGGTTGAGGACATAGGGTCATAGTTTCTGTTAGTTAAATTTAGCAAAAGTGATATAAGATAATTCCTGAGTGATTGCTGCTAAATCATGCCATAGAAAGCCTGTTTGTTTTTATCTAATTTTGAGTTCCGCTTGGCAGACTTAGCTAAAATACACTCGATGTGTCTTTTTGCCCTTTTGTGATGGTAACCTGAAACCATCATTTAGACGTGTGTCACAGAACAAAAGGTGCTTGCATAGACAGGAGTTTTTCAGCTTTCCCCTACCTGTGTTGGTGTGATGGTGTTAACATCTTCAGAGGCCAGGCTTTTCAGCAGGGTGGTCTTGCCAGCGTTGTCCAGGCCCAGTAGCACTATTCTGACCTCCTGCTCTGTTGATCCCTTCAGTTTCTCTATGACAGAGAGTAAGCCCTGTGGAGGGGGTTGGAGTCATTGGGGTAAATGGAACAACAAGCCAAATATGGTGCTAAGCAGTCAGACTTACGCCAGCTTGCCTGGCCTTCTCCAGATCAAGCTGTTCATGTAAAATGTAAAGAAATAACATTCATTAGAGAAAATAGAACAAAAGCAGTCAGTGGAGAGTCACTGGAGGGTCCCATGATGGGGCGGTTCAAGATCTACATTTCTTGAACAACAACACACTCCTTTTTACTTTGTTCACGGGTGAAATAATACGATGATCCTGATAGAATTTAGTTTGAACATAAAGAGTTAAAAGAGTGGGTAAAAAATGGTTTCCATGGAATTCCAATGACCTCTTTTAGATTTGAGATTATGGCTCTTGTTGCAACAGTGTCAAGCAAACATATGTGTGCGCATTTTACTCCTCCCAATACTGTGGAGCTTCTGTATGACCCTCGCCCTGTGAGAATTAATCTGGTTCTCCATTTAGAAAAGCGCTGGCGTCGATTAGGGCTTCATTCATATAATAGTGTGCTGTTTAATGTGATTAGGTCACAGGATTGCAGAACGGCAGAAAGTGCACCAAGACTGCTTACAAGTGAGGTATACGGCAGCTAATGTGTGATTAACTGTACATTTAAAACATTCAAAGAGAAGATATGATAACAAGTTATTACACAACCTAAGGAATTTAGATAATCCATCCTGGCTGAGATTTGCAACACAGAGAAATGCTATAAAGTGGTTAGTAGGCCACACTGTGCGTGTCACAACTGTCTGTTTAAATGTAACCACACATTCTTGTGTCTTCACATTTGGCTTTATAAGTCCTGTTGTACCAGATCAGATCACTTACCTTTTGAGCTTCTCCCATGTTGGTGTGTGTCGTGTGTCTTGGCTGGAGGGCTGCAGCTACATTCTCTAGTGAAGCTCACACAGGTGTGTTAGGGATCCAGGCCACACACAGCAGTTGCCAGTAAAGTCAACCAGCAAACACTGCCTTTTCCTCGGTCTCCCGTCTCGCTAAACTTCTGTAGGATAAGGACTATGTGTGTATGTGATATGTCTACCTGGGCGCCAATTGCTCCTTAGTGTCACTATAGAGTTAGCAAGCAGGAAGAGGGGGGAGGGTGGACGGGACCAGGATTAGGAGTCCAGAATTAGCCCTTGCCGTCCATGCAAAGGCCACTCCATTCTCCCTCCCCCACTTCCTTGGTCCATCCCTCCATCCAGTGGCTTTACCTGGATTATCCCTTAGCCACCTGCTGTTTGAGGAAATAAAAAAAAACTTCTTCCCGACCACTCACACACATAAATGAAATCGTTCCTGCCATATGGCCGGGGAAGAACTGCTTTTAATGCAAGACACTGAGAGCAGCGTAGAGACTAACAGCACTGTACAGACTAAGCACGTAGAAGTCATAAGATTATGTCACGGTGTTAAACCAGGGAACTATTTCTGCTTTCATTTGTGAACTCCCAGAACTCACATCTAGCATTCTGTTGGAGGGATGGAATTATTGTTCCATATATCCATTACAGGCCAGCCAGTGTTAAGCTGCTCTGTGTGGTGTGCGCTCCTGTGAGCAGAGCATTCAGCAGGATTAGTGCCAGAATCTCTATCCTGCGTCTGGATTAAAACATTTCCAGGCCCTTTTTTTTCCAACTGAACACTCTAATGCAGACACAGCGTTACTTTGTAAAAATGTCCCAAATGCAGGCTTGGATATGCCATAATGATACACAGTGAGACTTCAACGTGGAGATTGAAGATATTTTATTTGCTTTATCAAACACTACAATGTCTACAGTAAATTATGAAATAAGGTCTGTATTTGTCACATCTGAATAAAATGCGGTTTCTCCGTCAGGTTGATCTGGATGTCATTGGGAGTGGAACTTCCCTCTGCCCAGCCTGCACCCTCTGCATCATCCTCTCTTTGTATTTAGCTGCCAAGAGGAAGAAGAGGGTTACACTTCATAATCTTTGTTAAATAGATCATATCTGTCATTTTTAGCTCTCTATTGAAAAGCACTGCAGTGTGACACTAATAACATTGATATCATGTCGTCAGCATCCAAAGCTTGGTTTAGCACGAAGAGTAAAAATGTGGGGATAAGCTTTAGAGAAACATATGCTCACATTCAGATGACATATTTTTAAGAGGAAGGCTTTGCCATTTTTGGCAAAGAAATAATAAAGAGCATGCTAAGTCTATACCAACTGTTTGGCATCCCGCTTGAAGAGTCCAGGTGCCCTACAAACTTGGAAGCAGTCCAGACATTTCACCAGTTACATATACTGTGTTTGGTTTTTCATGAAACTCAGAAAAGAAGAGGTAATCTAAAGCCGTCACAATCTTAAATCAGGCAAGAAAATCCATTTTCAACAACCGCTTGTTTGGTGATAACCATCACACCAAGGTGCAGCCTTCATCTCTCAAATTTATAATGAAAATAGTTTATCTATAAGTCTATTGTTTTTAACTTAATCTGAGTATATTACTTGAATATATTTCAATATGATTAGTCCATTATTTAAAACAATGAAGACGTTGTCTTATTTAACTCACTAAACATTTAAATGACAGAGTGGAATAATTAAAAAGGAAGATGCAAATTGAGCTCTTACCGTTTTCTCTTTTCAGTTTACACTTCATAATCAGTCCCATTGCAGTGACCAAAACCAGTGCGGAAATAGCACAGATCACCAAGACGATCATTAAGTCGGGTTTTTCTGAGATGTTGGGATAACAGCACACACAATTAAAGACACAAAAACCCAGAGAGACAGCAGAGTCAAGGTCTGTAAAGGATCATTATGATATCAAAGTTTTCATTTCCTTTAAAACTCCAACCAGAGTTAAGTTCCATTAATTTTGATTTCAGATCAGCAGAACATTATACTTTCTCGCCTTTGGTTTAAAACCTCAAATCAAGGGTCTAAATGAGAGAAAGATGTCTACTTACTGCTTGCCTGGACAAATGGCGCAGATGTACAATTGCCACATGAACTGTCCACATTGCACATGTATTGACCATCTTTCTCCTTATTCAGAGGCAAAGTGTCCTTTTTCTGGCCGATGATTTCTGTCTTGTCCTTGAACCATGTGAACGTCACGTTAACATTGGTAAAATTGTGGCGACATCTCAGAAGAGTACCATTACCATCAACAGAGACTGAAAGACAAATATTCAACAATGTCAAATCATTTTATGTCTTTTAGTGTACATACTGTACAGGCTAGCCTTTTTCTAGAAAAAATAGTTGTATTTTGATTCTGCTGCAACTCATTTGAGCCTCACTTTCACACCACATAAGACTGTCAACTTATAGCCCCTATCTTAAAGCAAACAAATAAAAACAAGGAGTGGACTAACCATTAACGCAGACGGTGTAGTTATGGCTGAGCTGACAGCAGCCTTTAGAAAAACCAGAGAGAAAAAGAAAATGGCATTATGAGCATTCTACTAATATATCTGACAGGCCGTGCTCAAGTAAGTCTCTCTTTATTTCACCTGTCCCGTTGTTACATCCGTCACAGTTGAAGGAACCACCGGGAGAACACACATCTGCTAAAATAAGAGAATATAGACTGGATTATTTCCAGAGAAACCAAAACAAAAATGCAACCAAAAAGGATATGTCAGCACGTATTGTTTGAATAAATAACTTCTAAGCAACTCCTCACCGAGGAGGAGAAGACCAGGTAAAATACACAGCCATACCAGCAATCTTGTCATTTTCTGATGAAGAAAAGTATGTTTGAAAAATGTAAAACTTGAATGCAATGAACATTGATCAATGCACATAATAATAACACCCTTTAAATCGCTACATATAATAAATGAATATCATTTGAAAATGTAAGAAGTCTGCATCGTACCTGGTTTGACGGTCCTGACCCAGACTCGCGATGCAATGACCAGCTCTGCTTTGCTTACCCTCATGCTCTTGCTTTAGAAAAAATACGTGGCTAAAGATAAAATGCAGATAAGAATGCAAATGATTTAATTCCTGGAAATGTAATGCTCACAGACAACCACTCTTTGTTTGATTTGCAAGTGGAGGTGACAACCATCAGTGACCGTGAGGCTGCTAGTGCTGTTTGTGCTTCAGCAGAATTTGATTTAATAGTTTAATAATTATATTTCTGCACATCACCAAATGGCAACATATGCAATCTCACAGCAGTTTGCATTCTCAGTCTAAGGCCTTCCAACATTAAAGGGACAATCGATTATTACCCAAAGAAAAAAAACTCAGAAGCTTTCAGGGTGGAACGATGTAGACTTGTTACTGAAATAAACACATGTAAGGTAGAGGCAGGCGCACAAATACAGATACTGGGAGTGAAAGCTGTACTGAATTCCATCCTGTTATCAGGAAAACCGCGGTTTTACTATGCAAACTACCCAGCCACGCAGCAAAGGAAAGAGACAAACAGGACCCTCATTATATGTTTTAGTTATTCATATAGTGACCACCAGAGAGTGCTGTTGATTATCTATCTTCTCCCTTTATTATTCTGAAATGTGGAAGTTTATCTTCTCTCCGGGCTTGAATTGGAAGATAGATTGGAAGAAAATTGATTGGGTAATACATCACATTTCGAAAACTCGGAGGGCAACACAGACACAGAGTGAGCAAACTAGTTGCCTGTGAGTCACTTTTCCACTCTTCAGTCAGCTGACACATAATGGAGACTGTTATTTCCTCATCGCTCTCTATTTCCTGTTATATTAGCATGAACAAAACTTAACAGCTGCTGTGATGCCCCGTCAGATATACCCTACTGACCAACCTGTATTTTTACAGCAACAGCACAGTGCCACAACATGAGGAAGCAGCAAAAAGATCAAAGCTTTACAAAACATTAGCGTGTTATAACTAGTGTCGACTTTCAGGCCCTTCGCTGTTGTGGACAGGATATTTTTGTAACTTTCTGATATCTTTTAAGACTCAAACAGCACCGAGTTTTCAAAAGGTGGAGGTGCCAGGAGTTTTTCTATCCATCAGTGGATGAAATGTACTCTGCTTGGACTGGAATATACCTTAATATACCTTAAATTTTATTTACACATACAAACAAACATACAAACTCCACACATAAAGCTCAGCAAATAAAATATTGGTATGTTAATTTAAAATGCCTCTCAACAGTTCAATTCAATTAAATTTACTTTCCAAAAAGAGCAGGTCAGACCGTGCTCTGAAGTTATTTACAGAAGCCCTACAATGACAGGTCAAAGTTAACATGAGAATGATAAAAAGTAACCGTTAAGGAAGATGACACGTAATTTTCTTGTGGCTGAGTCTCACCCACTGGTAATTGGCATCAAAGTAACCACATTTCTTCTGTCTAAATATTTATTGTTTGTAAGTGGAAAAACTCAACATAGTGTTAGAGTATCATGGACAGATCCTATAATTCAGGAAGCCTCGGGATACAGAGGACCAGTGAAAGGCCCCTAAACCCTCTTAAACAGAGAGATGCCACTCAGGCAGAAGTAGAGAGAAGCCAATAAATGTCACAGATGTTTTAAGATTTTTTTAATGGGATAGTGATTCTCATGTTTTATCTCTACATTGTGCTCTTTGTGCACATACCAGTGCATGGATGCATTGTACATGCAAATGATATCTGATTATTACGATGTTACAGTGTCGAGTAGATAACTTGACCACAAAGTTTGAATCTTTGTCTAAACTGGGTGCACAGTTGGTAGTTTAATCTGGTAGTTTAATCTGAGTGTTGGCCTCAAGTGGCGCAATACCAGCTGCTCTGTGTGCAAAATGGAACTGGTGCATAAAATGCAATGCCAGGAAGAGAGTTATCATGATCTCTTTACACAGAGAGGATATGTATCTCTCATTGTAATGTAACATTATTATCTATAATGCAGATACAAATATTGTACAAATATTGTACAGAACGTAAAGCTGGCACTTGCCTACAAGCTTCAATGCTTTTAATAATAGCATGTGCATATTATGTCTTTATTGCTCAAAAGACAAACATGACATGTATTTTTTATACAGGTATTTCAGACGTTGTGTGACGTCAGTACGTCTTTGTATTCCAGTAGTTTTATTAGCTTCAGTAATTTAGGGCTCAATGGGCAAAACAGCTAGCTGCAGGATAATGCGTTTATCCCACCGAAATATTAATAAATGTCGTAAAACCCAAATAAAATACATAAAAAACATGTATAGGTATGAACGATGTATTTATAGATTTTTCGAACAGAATAATAACAGAGAAACACGGTCAGCCCTCCGGTACCGGAAGCCTCCAATCTCCTTAATTAAGCCGTGGAGTCACACCTGTCCCAGCTCGGCAATCAGACCAGCAAACTTCCAACGCTGGGTTTTATTTGGACACATTTCTGTCTTCTTTGGGTACTGTCTTTCCTTACCTTGAAGAATGGTAACTTTCAGCGTGCTTTATCACAGGTTCTCCCGGCTGGCTAAAGGCGCTGCACAAAAACAACACAGGAAATATGAGAAATGGCGCACCTGTGGCGTCACTGAGGACTGTTCGGTATGACAAAAACAGGATAAGTATGGCTCACGTCTGCTGAACACTGCTCAATTTTTCTTCTGTAAATATGTTCATTAAATGATTTGAAACCATGATTACAAAATACTTTTTTTAACGTTTCAGTTGAAGATGATCTACAGTAAAATAAAGAAAGCCAAATCGTGTTTATTAAGAATGAACTGTCACAAAGTGACTTACATTTATACAATACAATGACACATGCTACTACAAAACTCTCAGTTGCTGCACTGCCTTCACGGTGCATACAACAATGAGAACTGTGTACTGAGGCTGTACATGAAAAAAATATTGTGATTATGTCTGTGCTCCCACATCACAGGGTTTCTCAACATGTAGATTGAGAACAGTTTGATCATAGTAGCCATACTTCCTCTTTTGTGGCTCGTTGCTATGGCAAGACTTCCCTTTCTGGCAAGAAATGACAGGAAGACCTAAGTGATGAGTTTAAGTCAGTGTGTTTCTTAGAGGGGTGTGCATCAACTCTGGGTGGAGCACTCTGCTGCGTCCCCACGTAGTGTGCTTCGCCGAAGACTTAAGTTTTTAACCTGGTGTTTGGTCCATCATGGCGAACAACAAAGCTTTAGGGATTCCTGTGGTCCACATGGTGAGTTGGCATGTTTTTTTCTTCGAGCCAGTGTTTTTTTTTTTAAATTAACTTACACAGGAAACTGGAGGTAGGGCGACTACCTCTAAACCAGATGTTTTTTCCAAATATTTGACTCTTTAAGGTTTATTTAGTTAGCTTTTCTAAGTGTTCTAAAACTTGTATAAACTGACATCTAGGCCTGTTCAGAGTATCAAGAGGGTTGCAGACCAGTTGTCCTGTGTTGGCTTGGGTTGTCTGTATCAGCTCCGCGGCAGTGCCAGAACCAATCAAGCTTCGTGGCTACAGTTGGTTGCGACTGAAAACAGACTGGGCCCTCCTGAGCCAGAAGCAGATTCCAAGCCATGCCTGGTGGCCAATCTGTCATGTGTAGGCTGAGTTGGCTTGTAGCATTCACTGTGAGACCATTGCATTTCCTGAAATGGTTCCGCTCTGCGAAAGGTGTGAAGTGTATCTTTAGATGTATTTTCGATGAAACTAAGCATTATCGGATTTTACTTTGGTTGAAAAGATTTTCCTTTCTGTGTAATATTTTTTAGGATTTGAAATGAACAGTCATTTGTGCTCCCATAGTTGCCTAAACAGTGTGTACTTCTGTCTCTGCCTAAAATGGTAAAGGTTAGATGATGTATTATTTTTTCGAATGGAATCTGGATGAAATGCGTCTATTCTCCTGACTTAACACTACTGCCTATGTAGTCATTTATGATTTGTGCTTTTGGAACCAGAATTTGCAGAAGAATTAAAAGAATCAAGGAGGCGGTGGAGATGGAAGACAGAGGACTTTGGACCTCTTTCTGCCTAATATGGTCAGAATTGAGCCATTGAGCTGCTGTAAAGAAGTGATTACAGTAGTATGCTGCATTCATGCACTATTTTGGGGTCAAGACCGAGGAAAAAGAAAGTTGGTTCATCGATTTTTCAGGTGGTATTTTGCAGAATTGAGCTCAAGATTAACTGACCTTGTGAGAAACCCAGATGTTGATCAAGATGACAAATGTTGGACATTTCATAAAATTTGGATGGTGGGCACAGAATATTGCACACAAAACCAAAGGACACTAGTTTGCTTTTTCAAGGTTAAACATTAGACAACCTTTAAAATGTCCCATCAGTAGCCATACAAATAATGATATTGTGGGACTAAAGATGAATTTTGTTCTGTCTCGCCAAGTTAATCTGACCTGAAAGGGCTCTTTCTTCACCATACAGTGTGAAGAGACACCATTCACAACTTTTCACCTTTTTATTTTCAAAAAGTATTGGAGGACACCCAGCTCCTGACATGAGAATTTGACATGAGGAAGACCTTTTGTTGGCAACCCAGATGTATGAATATCACTCAGATTAATACTTATGAACCTAACTACCAAAAACAGAAACTCCACCGTTTATTTTGAATTTATGTTATTATTGAATATATTATTGGATTAGTAAACTGGAATTTATTTTGTGTAAAATTCCTTGTTTATTGATCTTATAGGGATTACATTAAGACTAGGCTATCCCCACAGGTTTGTGAGCATGCTTGAATTAAAAAAGCAGAACTCTGAAAACTGAATGAGAGCCGTTGTCATCGGTGGTGCAACCACTTCCTGTGAGAACAGCCTTGGCTGATTGCACTACAGTTACACATGGCAAAGAAGAGCAAAAAAACATGCAGCTGTAGTTCACATTTTACTTCCTAAACAGATGTATTATTGCTGTCACATTGTGCCACTGTGTAGCTCCTGAGTAAACCAGAATATCACAAAACTGTTCGGTAACTCCCCAAAATACCAAAAGTTGTTTTGTGCTTAGGTTTTAAAAGTCATTTTGAATTCAACTGTACTTTTTTCTTAATTTTTTTTTAAGTGTAAAGTTTTTAATTGTAACACAAAATGACTTTGAGCAAAAGTGGTCCTAATCCCCCTTCAGTGAAGTATTTGAGAACAACATTTTTGAAAAGGTGATAATGCTTCTTGATTTCCTTCTTTTTGTTGACAGAGCCAGGCAGTGTCAGATGGAGGTGAGTATGAATAATCACCATGCTTGCAGCCAATCCCATACATTTCATGCTTGTACAATCTGAACATGTCCGTGCATGAAAAGATAAGATTCAGTCTTTTTCTCTCTTTCTTTTTCAGTCGATGAATGGGTGTGTTTGTGATTCTGTTTTAGAGCTGAACATGTCTGCACGGGGCTGTGGAGGCAGCAGCTCCAGCCTTCCGGGGACTCCAGGTGGGGACGCAGGCCGCACCAACAGCGTGCTGAGCTGGGCTGTCTCATTTGAGAATCTGTTGCAGGACCCCTGTGGGGTCAATTACTTTACGGTAAGACAAACCAACCACACAGTTTGCTGCGTAATGTCTCGGTTTCTAACAATCTCAGGAGAAATGTATTTGTTGAGGTTTATGTTGGCCTTGCAGTGAGACGTGTTTCCATTGTTTTTCTACAGGCCTTCTTAAAGTCAGAAGTGAGTGCAGAGAATATTTTATTCTGGCAGGCTTGTGAAAAGTTCAAAAAGATTCCTGGCACCTCCTTGGACAAGGTATGTCTGTATTTTTTCCACTGCTTTTCACTGGTGGAACAACTTTAGTTTTTATTTGACTGTTTTCTTTTACTTAATTCACTCTCTCTTCGTAACTGAATCTGTAATCTTTCTGGTACTGAATTTTTATGGGGATCAGCATGGATAACAAAATGCAGTTATTAAGCTAGAAACAAAATTCATTGACAATTGTAAATTTTCTGAAGAGATTGAGGAGGTTATTATTCATTGGTCACTGTTATGAATACATGCTTTTTTATGCTTTTTTCATTCCTTCTGTTGGATAAGAAAACAACTGAGATTGGTTAGAAAAGAACAGGAGTAATAATTTTCTGTGGATGGTCAGATATCTTGTGTGTGAAATGACCATTAACACCCACAGACTGACATTTTTAGATAGGTATTGAGAGCTTGTTTCTCAAATTAATTTTGATGTCTTTGTTGTTTTATTTAAAAAAAAAAAAGGTTATAAGCAGAAACTAGGAGAGAATTTTTGCTTTCTTTGAAAACTTTATTCTCATTCACTCTAATGGAACTCCTGTTCTTAGCTGAAAACAGCTGCTCGGTCCATCTATGATACCTACCTGTGCGATAGTGCTCCCTACTCAGTCAACATCGATGATACTGCCAAGACAGAGGAGAGTCACCTGGAGCAGCCCACTCCTGACATGTTCAACAAAGCTCAGGCACAGGTCTGCATGAGGTCCAATGTTTTCATTTATCAATAAAACAGCGATGTAGTTTGTTTGACTCTTTTCTCTTTGCTTTGTGTCAGATATTTAAACTGATGAAGATGGACAGCTACAGGCGCTTTGTGCGCTCTCCTCTCTACCAGCAATGCACCCTGGCAAGTGTGGAAGGAAAACTCTTGCCCCAGCTCTCTACAGAGCCTGTCCGCATCGCATCCTGGGAGGATTTGCTCAGCAGAAGCCCCTTAAATGACAACAAGGTAGGTGGACAGTAGGGCACGGATGGGAAACATCTCGAATCAGTTTGAAATCTGCTTTAATAACATAAATTCTATCCATCTCGAACAGAACAAGAAGGTTGATTCAAACAGCTTGCCAGGTGGTAGGAGTGCTTCAGACAAACAGAGACAGAAAAGAGGCTCTTGGGGAGGTATTTTCCTTTTTAAATAGCAGATCTTGTGCTTTAGCAGTCTTGACAGTTTCTCTACATGATGCTTTGTTTGTTTGTCTTGTAATTATAGATACATCAAATTTCCAAGGCTCAGGCCCTGGAAAAGGGGCTCAAATGTCACTCAAATCTAACAGCAGTGTGGAGCTTGGCTCCCTCTACTGGCAAATTGAGGTTAGTACATTTGAGAGAAACTATTTAGGGTGAGAGCATTTGAAAGGCTGTCATGATTCGACATGCATAACAATGATTGAATATAATCCACAAGCTGCTGTAAGTCCAAAGTTCTTCCCATCTGCAATTTAGAACGGACGGTCGAGTCCTCGTTTCCCAGAACAGGGTGTTGGAGGTGGGAGTCGTATAGGAGTGGAGGGGGGGTATTGCTGTGTCTACCTACCTGATGGCAGCGCCTCCCTGGCCCCCACACGCAATGGCCAGCCAATCAAAGACATGCTGGCTAGCCTGTGTGAGAAGAGAGGCTTCCCACTGAAAGATGTCATCATTTACTTGCATGGCAAGGACAAGGTGACTACTTCTCCTCTGGCTGCAGCTTCAAATCACGCTACTCATAACCATATTCTGTGCCCCCTGCTCGTGGTGTTCTGTGGCTGCAGTATCTCGGTGTCCCATAATTTCTGCAAATTAATTCAGAGAGAATGATGCTCGCGTATAGACAATCAGTTTAAAGTCTAAAACTCCATCCTTCTCTCCACAGCAGCCTTTATCACTGGACCAGGACTGTTCTGTGCTAAGAGATCAGCAGGTCTCTCTCGAGCTCAGGGTCACATTTGCGTGAGTCACTCAATGCATTTTTTTTCTGTTCTCTTCATCCTCGCCATTTTTTCTACACACAGCTTCCATTCAACATCTCACGATCAAGGGGAAATTCTGATATCTTGAAACGCAGTGCTCACGATAACGATGTATAGCTCTTATACATTGATTATACTGTTTAGCAAAGTTGCCATGTCAGACCATTTGAACTGTTCCTGCCAGGACATCACTGCTGCTTTTACCATGCTGTCCATCTGCATTTGAGTTTCATGCACAAAGGTTATTGAGATGCATCTGTATCATAGGTTAGAGATTGCCTTCACTGGTAAAACGATGGGAATAATGGCGAAGTCCAGTAAGACACTGCATGACGCCCTCTCCGTGGTGCTGCACAAGCATCACCTCAAGTCCCAAGAGGCCTTAGTCACTGTGGTGAGTACATCTTACACATGAAATCAGGATATGTCACCTGTTTGCTCAATGACTGATTATGTATTATTTTCTTTTGCATTGGACTAACTGGTAGTGTTAATCAGATTGAAATCAGATTTAATGAAAAATTCAAAATGTTTCATGTTTTGAATTAGATTCCTGTAGAGATGCAGGACTACATTTCATCAGCAGGATGTTGTTGCAGCTGTCAACTCTAATTTCAGGTCTTCATTTTGGCAAACCTGCATCTCTTTTGTCTTTATTTCTATATAAATCTGTAAGCAATATCTGACTTTTAGTTATGTTGGATATTTACACACAGTGAAAATTAATTTGTTATTGCTGTCCCTTTGCAAGATGCACTTCAGGGAGAGGTTTTTTTATGCAGGGCCTCATGAATTGTGAGGGTCTTATCTGTATTAAGCAAAGTGAAGTATCGTAAATCAGATTTTCTAACAAACCACCTATAAGACAACAAACAAGCAAAATGTACTTTTACTTTTTTCAGTTAGTTTAGCTGCTCTTGCTTCATCTTCTGCTTCTAAATACAAAGGATACTGGGTAATTAAAGGTACATCACAATAACCCACTTAAAAAGTGTTTTAATTAGTATTCTCGCATAAACCTTGCTTTTAAACAATGAGGAAAACAATTTCAATCGAGTTATGGTGTCTATTGAAAAGCTATACCAAAAGGATCATGCCAGCCTTCTAAAACTTCTTCTAAAACTTTTTTTTTTTTTTTGGGGGGGAGCACAAACCTGTGCCCATGTTTGTTGTCCAATTCATTTTGCAGTGATGGTTCTAAATTGTTCGGTCCTTTGTGGCCATACACAACCTGGTTGCCGTCTAAGATTATTGACAGCTAGTTTGATTAATCAACTGCAATCAATCTAACCTAAGTTTACGTTTAGAGCAGCATCTCTCGGTCCATGTCAGATCGGTTTCTTTGTGGTTCCTGTTTACGCCAAACAATTTCCTCTCATTAAATATCTAGTCCTCTTTTCAGATCTCAGAGTTCCTTTGACTTTCCGTTTTGTAAAAACATTTTTTTTCCATGTGGGCAGACTGGAGCTACCAGCTGCCGTTTGTCATGATCACTTGCAGGAAGCGAAGGATATAATTTTAGACATTTTGTAACTGCATGGGTATTTACATTTTTGTTCTTGTTTGCTGCTACACGTCATCCTCGACCTGAATTTTATCTGTTGCGTGTGTCTTTATTTATTTTTATGAATTGCATAAGATTAAACTGCCCAAAATACTTATTTTTCTACCTTACTTTATTAAAGATGACTTACACTGTTCCCTACTAAATAAAACTGTGATGTGTTGATAGAAACTGAATGTGCCATAAGTAAAATCTGTTAAAAAATATATAAATTAAATCTTATTTTTTTTAAAAAGCTCATGCAAGCCTGTAATTCTCCTCCTTATTTCACTGTTTGTTTAGGTTGGAAGTGATGAGCCTGTGAATATGAACTGCTCTGTTTACAGAATGGCCAATAAGAAGCTACGACTCGACAAAGCCAAAGGTTTGTATGCTGGACCTTTCTAAAAAGCCATTTATTTGCTGTAACGCAAGTAAGGTGGTTGTTTTTTCAACATTTCAGCTGATGAGCTGCACAGATTCCTGACAAGCACACTCAGAGGATGAGAACCAAATATGGGCAGTCAATGGGTTACTCAGATCAAGGTTGAATTAGAGCTAATAAAATAACTTTCCTTCTCCTGAGGATGATGTGGGTGAAATACTGATTGTGCTTTATGTTCCGTTTTCTGCTGAATGATCCTCTTGATTTATTTGTTTCTTTTTAACTCCTAGAAAGTGTTCTGTGTTTCATGGCTCTCATTCCTTGAAGCAAGCAGGACAGTCTTTTCACAGTCCACTTAACTGCCCTGGTTTCTCTTGACTCTGATGTATTTTATGTGTTTATTTTTTTCTCGTTCAGTCTCTTTTATTCTTTTCTGTGTTCTGAAATGTCTGAATCCATTTGGATTGTTTAATGCTGTGCCACTTTGAGTACACTCATCTCATCTCCACACTGCTAAGAAACCAAATCCAACATCACTTTGTATCAATGCTCGAGGCTCAGATCATCTCACAGCAGTTAGTAGCAAAGTCATTTTACATTAGGTAGTTGTGTTCAGAGAGGATATATTTCATTTTTGTAAATGGTTATCTATCTTATGTAAGTCCTGCAGGTTCATCAGCTTCCCGCATATGTAATTCTAAGAGAACTATTGGAAACTGATTTATCTTTGTGTGCATACAGGTAAAGATCAGATCAACTTATCCGAAGGCAGTGTTGCTTCACAGGTGAGAAAACACTAATAGGAAGTTTATTGAGCAAATCTGGGAAAAATGAGAGGGGAAATAAGAGTCTTTGATCCTAAGAATATGTAAAAAATACACATGAATAAAACATTTCAGTGTTTTTTGGCCAACTGATTTGATGATAATTATAGTCTATGGTGGGTGTTAATATATTTAGTAGTATCTGAATGTAATACTGTATGTGGCATGTGAGTTTGCATGCTGTATATTTAATGCTGGAATTGGTTTTGATCCCAGGCAGGAGCAATGAGGACGGGTTTGGAGGCTCAATCATCTGTGGAGACAGACGGAACCAAGACGCAGCCCAGACCCAGTAAGAACCGCGACATGGATGGTAGGGAACCTCAGCACTGTCTGGCATAGTTGGGTAGTATTTCAAACGATTGTGTCGGTCAAATTCATAGGTAGACACCACTAAACAGTATCAACACATGATCCAAGTGGACAATGTGCTACAATTCCTTGTCCCACTTCAGATTTGTTCACCATCTGATTGTACGTTGTCTAGGTATTTAAGTGGAATCACCATCCTCAGATTCCACCAAATCATCTTGGATACATTTCCAGGATATATTAAAATTAGGATATGACTAAATAAGAAGAATATCTACATTTGCCAAAGCAAATTTTTCATATTGACTGAATGGCTGAATTAAGTTGAATATTATATAGATTTTTATGTTCTTTCTCCTAAGGCCATTTTGATTGAGAATGAATCTGGTGCTTTTTGGTTCTTGAAGATTTTTCCCCTCACCTCCAAAATACTCTTGGTTCATGCTGTGGAGCTCTAGGATTGTTTTGATGGTTTGAGCATATGTTTGAACAACTGTGTGAAACTGCGATGTCCTGTTGGCAATATTGAAGAAACCTCATGTTGCAAAAGAAAAATCTTTAAGAAAACAAAAAGATGCCTTTTTCTGATTGACTGTAAAATTAAGTTAACATTGTTTGTGTAAAAACACTTTTGTCTTATTTGTGTGTGTGAACTCATTAAAAATAATGTTATGTTTGTTTGATCTTCATCAGGATTTCTGGAGATGTTGACGAAAGCTCAGTGCTGTAGGGTTGATGACCAGCGAGGCCTTCTGACCAAAGAGCAGCTGGAGATCCCCTCCTTCCTGCAGCGTCCCTCAGATCAGGACACTGGTGATCTCGGCACAAGTTGCTCTTCCACTATTGACTCCGAAGTAAAATCGGACGACAACCCACTGACTCCTGGATCAGCCAAAGCAATTGAGGAAAGTCCCAACTCTACTTCGAAAGAAGTAAGGGAAACAACAGTTTGATGGAGCATTCACCCGTGAGACAAGAAAAGAGATGATCAAGAAATGCAATACCGTTGTTTGTTAATGTTTGTTAACGTGAGATGTGAATCATATCAATCGGCAAAAAGCGTGTCTGTCTGTCTGAAAGCACTTTTTATACCTGCCAATGAATAAGCTCTGAAACAGCAGTGTGCCTCCGTTTCTGCTACTGATTTAAAGGCCTTTTAAAGTCATTATGTTAAGACAAGGAAGTCCATGGCAAGCATTTATAGTGTAATTTAAAAACACTACAAATCCTTATGGGTAAATGTTTGCTATACATATATTTTTGCACTCTGAAGTGTATCAGGTTTTTGCTCCGACTTTCACAGTGGGATTTGTTGTATCGTCTGGTATGACCTTCCTTGCCTCTATTTTTCACACTTTGAACTCCCCGTCATGTTTTAAGTGAATTTTAAACTAAAACATTTATCAGCAAAGGAAATGCAGGCAGTCCAGATAGATTTTACAAAGTGTTTTGCATGATTGTGTGTTGGTTTAAGAAGATACTTTGTATTGTTTGAAGATAAGTATCCATTTGAAATTCCTTCTTTCTGTTTGTGCTTGTTTTTAAATGCATGTTCTTGGCACTTTGTGAAACGCTGGTCAAGTCTTGCTTTCATGTCACCTAAGCTGTATCTCGGGGTCATTGTACTACTGAAAAGTATTTTCAAGAGACTGATTGAAGTAGTATTAGTACAAATGGGTACATTGGTACTCAGTTGTTCTTACACTGCCTCTGTATAACTTCTTTTAAAAAAAATAACTATGTAAAATTTAATGTGCAATGTTTTCTTCTTTAGCAGTTTTGATGGTGAGAACATGAAGAAAGACAGACATCAGCTTTGATGTTAGCAGAGGAATTGTTGCTATATATCTGTAAAACAAATTCAATACTTAATTTAAGCCTGTTTTTCTGTAGTGATAAAGACTATTCCCAAATAACAAAAAATTCATGATTCTTGTCAATCTTCCAAAGAGTGCACATTTCAGCAAGGTCGTCCCCAGGTCAAACTGGGCTAATAGCTATTTCAGTCTAAGCCTTACTTGGTTACGTTTATAAAAGTGGAGGTCATATTTAAATGTATTGTCAGGAAAAAAGTCACTTCTTGCTTAAGAACAGAAGAATTAATCAAATAGTATGCATCAAATAAAGGGATGCTGCAAGGATACTGTTGTGAACATGGCTTTTTGATCGGATAAAAAGTCCATTTACTTCTCCACACTATCTGGTGGTAATAAAAATAGACATTTTTGTTGACAGAATATTAAATGCAAAGTTCTTGACTAATTTCCAGATCTCATTTCAGAGGTCTGGACAAAAATTGGTCTCTGGTTATACTTTTAACCCAAGGTACCATTGTGATCGAGCTAGATGAAAGGGAGCCGCTGCTGTTATATCTACAACTCTGATTTTAATTTAAATTCCGCTCTTAAGTCATGAGCTCAATTAAGATGTTACAATGGCTCGGTCAAAAGTCCCTACAACGCATAGGATAGACTTAACAAAAGCTGTATTTAAACAAATGCAAACCTCAATGAACTAGAGGACTGAGGAAAGATTAATTCCTAATGATGTGAGAGATGGATAATGTACAGAAAAAAATATTCCTATGTGTTACTGCTTCCAAAAGGGTCTTTACAGACTTTGAACTGTGGAGTAGATTTGTTTTTCACACTGATTTTTCCATTTACCTCATTTTGGGTTGACAAGATATTGACAGTGTAATAGGTTGCATGTTTTTTTAAAGGTATATTTTTTATCTTTTTATCTTTTTCACTTTGTAAGGTTTACGTAATTTTTCAGATAAGAAAAAAAAGATTTTCTGATGAGTGAAACCTTAAACTACCAAGGCTCTAAGGTTCACCTCCCATAAAATTGGAGCCCACAGCCACTATAGATGGGCTAATTGAATCATGCAGGGGAAAAACCAGACTGATCATTGTGAATATGTGTTAGCTTTTTGTCTTTTAGTTTTTTCTGGAAATTCCCTGCAAGGTTCTTCAATGTAACGATGTTATCGCTACCCAGTAACAATGATGAAGTGTTATTTGTAGGATCTATTTTGAACCAATGAATATTTTTCATATTTCAAGACTTGTTGCTGGAAGGGGTTTTTGAATATGTGTTTTGGTTACATGATTTACAAAACCATTTCGATGAGTCATAGATGATCTCATCCTCATGGATGATGTCAGCAGCATTCAAGAGAACGTGGCACAATGCAGTTTGGAAATGATCTCATTCACACTCGCATCATTGAGAATGTCATTGTCTTGGAGGTAATTAAGCATGAAATACATTAATGAGCAATGTAAAATACCTGTTTGTCACACCCATTGCCTCCTGCTGCCAGGCAGCGTGCATGTGCACACACCTGGTGTTCCTGTGTGTGTGTGTGTGTGTGTGTGTGTGTACGTGTGTCTATGTTTCTCTATCCAAGCGTGAGCGGTGCGTTGGCGGAGCTATGAATGGGGAAAAGAGGGGTGTTCTCTCACAGGCATCATCACAGCAGTGAGATGAGGAGTGCCATCTACTTGTCTGCACGGTTGCTGTACTGAGAGAAGGAGGAGGGAATAAAAGGAGGTGAGTTAACCGAAGGCTTCTCATTTATATGATTTTTTGGGGGGGGTTAACGTTGGGTTTGTTCAGTCTGTTAGATCTGCTTGTGATCTATTGCTCTGTCCCTCATCTCATTCATCCCGTCTGTCACATAGTATGTTGCTGTGCCTAGCGAAATGTCTTGTGATAAACCTGTTCTTAAGCACGTATATGTAACAGAATGCAGACCCTATCTGATCTGTTATTCTCTGCTTTCACTTTGAGCGTAGCCTCTGGGATTTGTGCAGCCTGTACTGCAGTTATAAAACTGTTTTTCTTTTTAAAATAAATGAAAGTGTTTGTTTTCAGTTCTGTTTATGACTGCTCTGAACGGTTCTTGCTGTTTCTTTGCGAGACCCGTACAGGCAAACGTAGGTGCAGCAAAACTACACCGATCTGTCGAGCCGGAGCATTCATACGAGCACAAGATCCTGCACAGCGGGGTGACTCTGTAATAGTAGGGGGGTATAGTAGATTTATGTTAACACAGACTCAGACACACATGGCTGTGCATTGGACAGGAAGCAGCTGTGCCAGAGAACTAGTGACCAAATTCATCCAACTGGATGGGTGGGTCTCACAGTTAGTTTTTTTCCTCTACCAATTACAGCCCATTATGCTCCTGATACTCTAAGCCCCCCTCATGTCCTCTTTATCTTAGTCTCCAAAATGAAGGCTCATTTGCTGACCTTGTAGCTTCAGCTGTCTGTGTACATGCATGTACTGTAAATGCTGGAGTGAACTGATCAGCCATTGAGCCTCTACCATCGGCATATTCACCACTGGTGTCAGACTGAGGCGGTGATGTCATCACCTGGAAAGTTGCACAGCCAAAAATGTATTCATCTATTTTGATAGTGCGTGCTTTTTTTTTTTTTTTAGGTGAGTGAATGAGCAGTGATGACCAGGTGTTGTGTCTGCAGTAGGTAGTCATTTAGCAGAGGAAATGCGAGAGAAAAGAGGGAGTCATGACTATAAAAAGTCCCTCACATGCATATTTAAGCCAAAGGAGCTTTTGTCATAGCCTGCCTCTGAGGTAAGGAGTTAATTAGTGTTGACCCTTCCTGAAAATATAGACAAATCTGCCATTCGAAGATGTAAACTCAAATCTTTAGAACAGATTAGGTTCTTACGTAACATGGATGTGAACCTCAGTATTTCATCGAGGATTGGGGAGACCACAACCTTTTCTTCATTAAGTCTGTGGCAACGTGACGTTGAGAAGAGGATTAAGGAGGTTCACAAGTTTCTTTAAAAAAAAAAAAGATATTTTTGGTCACCAAATAGTTATATTTTCATATGTATCTTTTCACGGATACAGGGAGAGTGAGGGAGTGTTTTCTCATGGGCACGGTGCTTTTCTATGTTCCCAACAAAGAAGATGAACTTCCCCGGACCCAGTCCAACCTCTGCCCCTGAGCTTCACACACAATGGATGGATTCCTCTTTGAGACAAAGACAAAGGGAAAGCGGTGCAGGCCAGCACATCATTCTCATTTAGGTCATTTCCCTCAGTGAGCGGGTTTGAGAGAGCACTCAGGACTCGGTGAATGCCTGTCCTGTCATCAAAGCGAAGATTACCCTCCTCTTTCTCTCAATAGACTGTAATGGACATTTAAGAGTTCTGCAGCTCGTAGGTTACCTCGGGGTGTGCCAGCTGAACCTCAAATGAAAGGGGATTGGAACACTCCACTGGGTCAGTTGTGTTGGCAGATTTTGGCTCGCATGCTGGCCCAGTAGAACATCACATGTGTTCCAGTTTAAGTAGCACTGTAGTGGAGGTCCCCCGCAGCATCAGATGTGGTGCCGCTTTGACCGCTGACGTCAGTCCTCCCAGCGGGTCAGGGAGCTCCTGTCGATCAGCCACCATTCATTCTTTATGAGCCCTGGGCTTACTGCTCCCCGAAGAGCGGCAAGGTGGTAGGCAATTTCAGCTCTGCCAAAACTGTTGTTTCGCATAGTAATTTGATTAGTTTGAATCCTGTTTTTGCAAGGCCAGAATGAAATGGATTTGTCTTAATGGTGATATAGATAAACGGTAAGAATAATGTCAATTTGAGTAATTAAAATCACATAAAACTGTAAAGCAAACCCACAACATTGACAAAGCCCTATTTCATGTGCTTGATATAGTTTATATTTTCTGGATGCAAACTGCATACAGAATTTGACAAAGACAACAGAGTTCAAATGCCAGCTGGGGCATTTATGTGTGGAGTTTGCATTTTCTCCCCTGGTACTTCATCCTTCTCCCACCACAGAAAAAGAATCATGTTATTCTCTTTAATGTCTCTATAAATGCACAAATCAGCAAATAGGAGCTTTAGAAATGTACCAACAATTCTGTATTAAGAAACAACATCCTAAACAACATCCTAAACCACATCCACATCCTTTATGCATCCATGCTGTCTATTAAAAATTCATGTTTATGTCTGACAGATGCATAAATCGATGAAGAGGACAGAGACTACTGGAGTGCAAAATATAAAGGGGTAGAAATTCCCTTAGACCCAGAGGTGTTTTGTCCCAGGCCAACAGGGCTCCTGATGCCAGCTGTGCCTCTTAATGTGATGGAAACCTTGTATTCCCGAAAGCTTTTATACACCCCAAATCTTTAGTTCATAAAGCATCAGTCAGCATGAATGCTCATTAAATACCCTTATGTGTGTTTAGGCCTTTTTAAACATTCCTAAATGATTGTTGAGAGAATTGAGGAGACTTTTTGCATACAATATTATTTATTCTCAGATCAGATTTTTATTCAATCCAATCTTCAACAGAGCCTTTGGGATTTATTATACATTTATTTGTCTTAATTTAGTTACAGATATTTTTCATGCTTTAAATTCCACAACATACTGAAAAAATTCTATGACCAACAAAAGCATAATAAAGCTTCTTTAGGTTAACGCTGAGACACATTGACCTGAATCAGATCAGCCTTTCATCTCTGACCAAAAAGCTATAGAAAACCAATAGTTCCTAAATTGGCTTCATATACAGTAGAGTTGAACTCTGATTATTGCTCAAATGCAACAATGAACTGCTCTAAAGAGCATTGATAGAAAATCATCGGGAAGGTAAGGAGTGTGCTCAGAATGGTTATGATCCAATACAAAAGTCAATACAGTTTCCCCAGAGTGTAAATCCTCAGAGGAAAGTCATCCAGTCAAAAACACAATTCACTGACGGCAGCATCAGATCCCTGGACCAGAAACGCCATCTAGTGGGAGGATCCCATAGGGAACATTAGTGGTGATTATCCCTCCTAGCATGACAGTAATCTTTGATAAAGGATGGGTTTTATTCATTTATAGATGGGCGCCAAATGAAAAAAGGCAACTATTCTATTGCATGCAGTCATCTGACTTGAAAATGCCCTTTTCCACTTTACAGCTGCATATCCGGAGCAAGGGGATTGATCCTGAAGCATCAACGGCACTGAAGGGAGAGCTTTACATCAGTTATGGAGCAAAAGACGAATGAGGTATGTGAAAGGCTGACGCTCATCACAGTTGAATCATCCAAGCCCATTCTAATGCACATCATGGTCTTCTCAGTGTCCAACCACCACCTCCCCTCAGAAGCACATGAAAAACAGGTCCAAATCCACAGAGGAGATGCAGCACTCGAAGAAGGTGAGCAGTGGTCTGACAGTTTCTCATGAAATCCGACTTCTTCTGACTGTACCGTCTCATCTGACAGGCCTTTTCCTCACAAAAATCTCTGCCTGGCAGGCCTGAGCTTGACAATGTGAAGGTGAGCTTTATACTCTATTTATTTCTAGGTTTTAACAAGACTATTCAATTTATTTTCCCTCATTGAGGCTATTCAACACCTCTCTTGTTCTTGCCATGTCCTCTGAAGCGGCACTAGAATTATCTTTAGGCCCGCAAGCGTAAACTGATTCAAGTCCTGGATGTTCTCCTCTCTTTTGCAGGAAGGTGCTGATGGCTCAGACACACCTTCCTCCTCCACCGAAGAACTGAAGTGAAAACAACAAGGCATTAAGTTAACATAAAGTCACAGCATCATCACCAAAATGTACATTTATCCACATGGAATTTGAAGAATATTTAGGATGATAGGAAGCTAAACTATGAAAAATGCAAGCCAACAAACACCTGTGATGTAGGTTTGTCTTGTCTTGTGAGTAATGCATATGTGAATGTGCTGTTACAATAAAGTAATGCTGTTGAATAAATCTATTCTATCATTCATATTACCAAAAAAATGGATTAAGGGGGGATTAAAGCACATTAGGAAGACTTGTTTGCTGACCAGTTTTTTAGCCTCAAAGGAATATCTCAACAAAGCAGCCACTGAAGTTTTTCATGTGCAGGAGGCCAGCGTGCACACGGAGTGTGTGCTGTGAGTGTTTAACATCACTGAGATATCTGCAGACAATGTTTCTGAACTGTGAAGAAAATAATTTTAGGATGACTTTCACTAAAATCCTTTATGTACTGCCTGGCATAGATAGATACACATAGATACCATAAATATCTGATCGAATGTCTTTAGACCTTTCAAAATGAATTTGATCATCAGAGAAAAATGGTTCTGATAACCTCAACACATCTTTAATAATTTAAGAGGTTGTTTTATGCTTATTTTCTGAAGTCCTCCAGATTTGCCCTAAACCTCTCCAGAATGTACTTGAGAATTATTCTGATCACTTTTGTTTGCAAAAACAGAAGAAACCCCTCAGCGAAACCATCATTTGGTAATTCTCATAGCAGGATCATAGAGCAACACAGGACGGATGGTATGGATCTGCAGCTCAGTCTCTGACAGGTGTGCTGAGGAGGAGGGCGACGACCCTATCGTCTCTGCTTTGCTCATCTTCAGGCTGACAGTGGAGGATAAGCAAGCAGCCCAAACCTCACTATGAATTGCACATGTGGAGGGATTAGCTGCTACATGGAGGGCTTTTTTTTTTTTTAAACCAAAGAGCTCTGGAGCAGCAACACAGATTAGCTGTTGCCATGTGTGGGTCCATATGTGCACCTATGTCTGTGTTCTATTTTTCATCACCTTAGGCTGCATCTTCTCTCCAGTCAGCACTAAAGTCATCCAACTACCTGCATGAAAACTCACTACAAAACACCACACTCACTACAAAAGGGTGGGGGAAGTTTATTAAATTCTGCTCCTGTAAGGTCAGCAGGTTTAGCAGATCTGGAGGAGAGTACTGCTGATGTGACAGATATATGCCTGGACTAATGATTGACAATTAGCCTGTTACATTAGCCAACACTGCTCTCTCTTGTGACGAGGAGTGGGAAGCTGATTGAGCTGGTAAATGTGTACATGTGTATTTTAAGAGGCTCTCAGGAAATATCCCAGACAGCTTCACTCCACTCAATCCTTTTCCAAGCCTGTACATAGAGGCAAAGCCGAGCAGAGTACACCGTACGTGTCTGAAGTGCTTCAACTGACTCATCTTCTGGAGGAAATTATGATTGAACACCCATTTTTACTCTTATAGCCATGTATTAAATCTTAATGAAAACTGCTGCGTGTGGATGTGAGTGGATTAAAGAAAAAACTGGCCGAATAATCTGCAACAGTCATTGGCATTTACCACTAGGTGTCAGATTTCCCCTGCTCATACATCTGAAACCGGCATCAACCAGGATGGTTAATCACATTGCTCAGGTCATTGTTTGTCTGGTACAAAATATGAGGTGAAAAACAACCAACTCAACATCATTCATTACTTAATACACAGCAAGATTTCCCCTCTGGTGCACAGACGTAATGATTTGTGTTATTGATTAACAGAGCTATCCCTGATGATGGAGCAGGTTAATCACCAAGAGGCTGCATAGTCCTATTCACACCTCCAGACGTGATAGCTTATTTAAAGATGATCTTTACTTAACAGATGTCACTACAGGGCTGCAGGAGATAAGGTAAGACGCTGTACTGTTTCAATTCAGGAATGGAATTGTTGAGGTGTCTGGAGACTTAAAGTCAAATCAGTGAATATAAGAAAAAACAAGAAAAACATAGAGAGTGTCAGAACCCTGAACAGATAAGGGTGAGGGTGTAACAGTCGGTGCTTGTAGATCAACACCAAGTTCACACAAATATATCTAGCCTTTATTCAGCTGTGATTTATGGAAGTTTCCTCATACACTCCCGCATAGAGACTGATGTACATAAGCTGACAGGGTCTCTGCAGATCTGAACCTGCAGGAGGATGCCGCACACAATGCTAATGATGCAGTGACTGTAATTACTGTAATTTCGACTGCTGTAATTGCTTCCATCCACTTTGCTTTTAAGGGACACATTAGTATTTCCTCTTCTATTGAGGTTTAAAAAAATATGGCAAAGGGGCTGAAACGAAAAAAGGGGAAAAACAGGTTCTTTAAAAGAAAAAATCTCAAAACCTTTGAAAGGAATGGCAGCTCTCAGAGAGCAAAGCGTCACTTTTAATTCTGGTGTGCAGCTGTGAGAAAGATGGAGGACAGGACAAGGGACATCAAGACTGGTGTTTTCTTGCTGATTCCAACAACTGGTTCGTTTGTTGAGAAGACAAGTGACATATACAAAATACAGAAATAGAGATAATTTTTACCTTAAATCAAAGATAGCTGATACTTAAAAACTTGCTAGGTTGTCTTTGTTCTCTTAATTGCTTGTCGCTCTCAATGTCTTTTTAAGACGTGTGCCCACATACAGACATCTTGGTCTCACCAGCTTCTTTTTTACAGCTGCAGGTGGCTAATAAAGATATTTACTCCTATCTGCTCCCCCTACAGTGTCACCCTGTGACTCTAACTAGATGCATGTCTCCAAACAGTCCTCAAAACACCATATGTCCTCTCACCCTCAAAGGATAAAGTCCAGCAGAAGGAGCACAGAGCTGGGTTTATCTGGTGAACTTCAAGTCCTGTCACGTTTCATATCTTTTTGCTCTGTTGTAGCTGTTTCTTTTGCTCTTCTTTTCTTATCATCAGGAAAATGCATGCTGATCGGCTCTCTTCGCAACCCAAACTCCAGCTGGAGGACGACAGGGAGTCTGGCATCGGCTCCACCCTTGACCTTACCAGCGGCTTTGAGGGCCACGGCGTACATACCAATCAACACGCAGACACACCTTCACCAAAAGCAGCAGACAGAATCCCCGGAGAGACAGGTACAAGACAGGCATCAAGAGGAGAATCACGCTCTCATGTCTCCATACGGGAGAGGGGTTTGATCTCTTTGAAAAGGCTAGCTGCAGCAGCAGAGGCACAGCCCCAAGCCTGTTAAGAAACATACCTACTCAAAAAACTCCCAGACTCAGTGGGATCAGACGGTCTGACTGGAGTTTGGTAGGATATGGATAATGTATGTCAGATGGGTTTGTTCTCACATGTGAGAGCCACCTGAGGTTTACCTCAGATGTCATCCTGAAATGAATAAAAAAAAAGAAGGATGAGCTTGGGATGTTGAGTTTGTTTTGTCATCTGTCAGTTTTCTGTCTAAGTCAACCTATCCTCTTTCTGGTCAATGTTTGAGCAGATAACCCTCCTCAGACCGCAGCAGGGAGTCCACACAGCATCAAGCAGATCCTTGTTAACATATCCAAGATCCCTCTTCTCTTCATCCTCCTCTTCCTCTTCGTTTGCTCCTTGGACACTCTGAGCTCTGCCTTCCAGTTAGCAGGGGGTGAGTCTAACCTCTGCTGCCCTGTCAGCAGTTTGATTGTGATTAAGCCAGTTGATGTTTGACAAAAAAGTGAGTCACTGAGGAGCAGTTCACACTGTCCCGCCGGGTCTGGCTGTACAATAAACTGCACAGCCTCATCTGCTGACCTTTTGAATTTAGGGAAACAACAAGTTTGAGTCTTGTTTAACATTGCTTCTGGCTCTCTTGTCAACACTCTGCCTGTTATTGTGTGTTTCTGTTTTTTTACGTGGGTGGCATAATTAACCAGGTAAAGTTGCCGGGGACATTTTCCAAGACAATGAGGTGCTGTCCAACCCTGTGGCCGGACTGGTGGTGGGGATCCTGGCCACTGTGCTAGTTCAGAGCTCATCAACCTCAACCTCCATCATAGTCAGTCTGGTGGCCTCCGGATGTGAGTAGGCACATGAAAGTGTGTGTGAAGCAGGATATGACCTTTGTTAAGTGTGGAATAAGAATGGAAATGCAGATATCCAGACCAGCTTGATTTAGTTTATCATTTGTGTATTTTTTGTGTTGCATGACTGTGTGTGACTGTGTGTCTCTCCAGACTCTTACTTTACATACATGGATATTCAAACAAGAATACATTAATGTAGCACCACAAACAGGGAAAACAAATCTCCAGTGGTGCGACCTTGACAGTACCAACAAATTATCTTGTGGCTTAATTATTTGAATGTATTCTGTGTAAAATATAATTATATTTTGACTCAGTATATTATATTCTAAATCAATAAACCATAGGGGCTGAATGTGTTTCTCAGCAGAGAAAGATTTACATCTATTAACATCCATTAACTTCCAGCTATAACAGCATTGAAGTTATCCATAAGGTGGCTGATATAAAACCAACATTTCAACAGCATAAATGAAGCACCATATTTCCTAATGATAGCAAATCTCTAAAAAGAACAACATGGGATTAATCCTTCTCTCAAAATGAACTTTTAACCCCCCTTTAATCCCTACAGCTTGTTACATTAGTTATTGGCCTAAAATTTCCCCATGTAAAAAAACAAAACAATTAAAAGCTTGAATCAATGCATGCAAAAACTGTTGGCTTAGTTTTTCCTCAGGTTTTGCGTGACTCAATATGTGCCATGTCCATGACAAGAGGCATTAGGTTTAATAAATGTGTGTCTCCACATTCTATGGTTTTCAGAGCCAAGATACTTTCTTTATGTAGCAAAATGTTATAACTAGTATATCAATGCTTGAAAGGATAAAGAAATAAAGGGATGAGTTCTTATCTTCCTCACATAAAATTAAGGTGACACACTGCTCTGAAACAAATTGTTGAAGCAGGCCTCCAGCTCCAGTTCTCTTGTTTGATAAGTATCATTAAATGATAAATGAATAGTTTAAAAAAACAAAGTCAGCATTATTAATTTTGGCACAGCAGGGAGGACATCTTTGATTATTATAATCGTTGCAAACGATCGAATAACAAATAGCTCCACATTGTTCCAGCTATTTTCCGCTGTAATAAAAGATGTCGAAATCATCGTGGTCACAATGTCAGATTTTCTTGATATGATTACCATTGCCAAAAGAATTATCATGAAAGATATTATCAGAGGAGCTGTCCTTTTAACACGAGGCTATTGACATATTTTTCTAATGGTCTCCTTTTTCTTTTGCTTATTTAATAACACGTTAGATGGGAGGTGCATGACCGACACCAGACAATATCTCATTCTTTTAACGTCATGGTTGTTGTCAACCCTGGAATTATGCAACACCCCCGTCTCTAATGTTTTTACAGGTATAGAAATGAAGCGGTAATGCATCAAATGGGTTTTTTAGATACATTCTAAATAGTGGCTCAAAATAAGCTATAGGAAAAAGCAGCTTATCAAAGGCTTTGCGGCCTGGCTTAAACATCCGTGTAATTTGTGAAGGCCTCCTTAGAATTAATGTTATCTTGTTGTTGGGCTGGCAATTAAGTCAAATCATATCAGAAATTGTGATCTCCCACTGTTTCAGTAAGTCTAGTTTTATCTCCCCTCACGGCAAAATTTATGTTGGTTCAGGCACTCCCACTCATTGCAATGTCAGCCCAAAATGACAAACATCAGCACACAGAACGTGTCTCTTTCCTTTCAAAATCTCTTTTTTTTAGAATAAGAGAGCAAATATGGAGATTGCTGTTTCTTATCAAACAACGTAGGAGAATTATTTGTCAGCATCTTTCTTGTGTCTGTGCCATGGCCATTTAAAGCTCCCTCCTGTTTGCCTGCCTCCACTCAGTCAGAAATTACAGTCACCTTTCGTTTTCAATAAATCTTGTGTTGTATTCAAGGACATACAGTATATAGGGACAATATGGGCGCTGTATTGCCATTTAGACAATTTACAGAATAGCTCTGTATGTATGAAATAATGGAGAAAGGCAGCATTGTTGGGTTCCATCTCACAGTGTTGGAGGTGAAGTCAGCTGTACCAGTCATCATGGGCTCCAATATTGGGACTTCTGTCACAAACACCATCGTGGCCATGATGCAGGCTGCGGAGAGAAATGAGTTTAAACGGTGAGTAAAATGTGTGGAGGCAGGAGATGGAGGAAACCGCAGAGCAAACAGCCGAAGGATGAAATTGGTATGAGTTCAGGCAAGAAACCAAAGCAGGATGAAATGCGTCTTTGGCAGGTGCTTTTTTAAAATCCTTTTTCAATAAAATTTTTACTATACTTTCTAAAAATTGACCGTAATTGAATCCCTGCCAAGGATTTTGGACCAGTTAATATCTATCATGAAAAGATGCTGCTGCACTGAACAGATGGCATGGTATTTTATCTGTGTGGTAAAATAATTATGATGTATTAATCCTTTGTAATGTGCACATACGAAGTAAAAAAACCAAATGTTCATTACATCATTCATTTCCAGAAAATTGAGCCATGAAAATCAGATTAGGCTGCAATTACTTTGAGTAGATGATCATGCTGACCTTGGTTGAACACAATTAATTATTATGACTCACCACAGAGCCTTTGCTGGAGCCACAGTCCATGACTGTTTCAACTGGCTGTCGGTTGTGGTTCTATTACCCCTGGAGGTAGTGAGTGGGTTAATGACCCACCTTTCTCAGCTGCTGGTAACCAGCTTCCGGCTCCGGCCTGGGGAAGAAGCTCCTGAGCTATTAAAAGTCATTACGGAGCCGGTCACAAATCTCATTATACAGGTAATCTGCCGCTTGGTATTCTTTTCTAACATTCTGCTTTAAATTCAAGCAAATTCTACACTGCATAGGATAGTGAATTGTAATGGGCCAGATACTTTTCATCCCATTCATTAGCTCCTACATTTTCATATACCTGTGTTTTTTAACCAGAAATGTACAAAAACACCATGGCTGTGAATAAATAGAGGAAAGGGTACTCCTGAATGGGAACTAGAGCTTTTACCCTGAGGAAATTGAATAACCGGGAAAAAAACAGGAGAAAAAGAAAAACAAATACTGCAAGATATTCATAATAAGCTTCAGATACTGCAGCTGTAGGCTTATAACCATCTGTGAGCCAGGTTTCTGTTGCGATATTCAATGTAAAAAATAGCAAAAGTAACATTTAAAGCATACAACTATGATCAACTTATACTATATGATACCATAGCCTCAATATCTATCTATCACCTCCCATTCGTAAGCCTTTCTACTTGAGACAAAAAAGTATTTCTGGCGTGGCATTGTCACTACATGGTGTCACCAATAAAATAAACACGCTTACATTAGAGCCACACTGGTGCTACAGAGAGGCAGTGCTATCCCTTTGTTACAGCTATGAGTCCCTTAAGTCATTATGCCAAACCTGGATGCTATTTTAAGGTGGCTGAAATCGGATCCATACCTTTGCACATCATTTTTTAACTTTAAAACAGTCCAGGACACTGGGCCCACCAGACAGATGTCAGTACACTTAAGGTTCAACACTGGCTTCTTTTTCTTTCATCTCAGTTAATAGTTGCTAGATAGAAGGCTCTTTTCTTGCGCAGTGGATTTTAGAAACTGTCAATAACATAATTCATCATAATGCAAAATCAATACTCATATCTTACATATCTAAGTTGCCATGCCACAGATCTAATTGTATGTTTATGAACCACCCACAAGTGGCAAAGCCTCGCATCAGCTAGGCGCTCTTAGCCAGTTATTGATGTTAACTTAATAAGAAAACAAATTATGGCTGATGAAGTCTGACATGTAGAGTAAATATTATTCAACAACGTAGTGCCTCCGACAAATATGAACTCATAAGATGAAGATATAATTATTTTTTACCTTCTTTGGGTGAAATATAATCAATTGTTGGTCAATGATATCAAAGAAAACTGATTTATGTGGAGAAAAAGATTAATCTGGAATGTAAATGTCAACAACTGAAACAATCTAAATATCAGTTTGTTTTTAGAAAATGTGTCTTTCTATCCTCAGCTGGACAAATGTGTGATCACAGGGATCGCCATGGGACATGAGGGCATGAGGAACAGGAGCTTGGTGAAAACGTGGTGCCAGATTGATTTGTTCGGGGTGACTCCACTGCTGCCTCTTTTTTTTATATATACAGGCCTTTATATCTAGCTAAGCCAAACTTTTCTTTCTTTTTTTAGTCTCCTGGTAATGGGAGCAGTGACAACTGTGGCCACAGTAATAACATGTCTCTGTCTTCCCACGTCAGATGTGAGTACAAAATCTGTGATGTCTCTACCACAAATGCCATGGGTGTTTCTCTCAAGCATTTAAAGATTCTCATATTTGTGAGTTCTTTCTCTTTGTAGGTAGACATCTGTTTGCATCTGCAGAGCTCTCAGATCTTGCAGTGGGCCTCATTCTCCTCGCTGCCTCCCTGGTTGTCCTCTGCACATGTCTGTTGCTTCTGGTCAAACTCCTCAACTCTCTTCTTCTGGGCAAAGTGGCAAAGGTCATCCATAAAGTCATCAACACAGGTGGGTGAACCGACAGGATGGTGTTTTTTGTTTCAAATGTTTTTTTCAACAAATGAAGAACTAAACTTTTGAGAATGAAGGACAAATTATCTTAAATGTACATCTCCGTCCAGTGCATACACTTTTTAACGTTTCATTTCCTCACCTCTGCATCCCTACAGACTTTCCTTTTCCATTTGGGTGGCTGGCAGGATACATTGCCATGTTTGTGGGAGCTGGGATAACATTTGTGGTCCAGAGTAGTTCTGTCTTCACTTCAACCATGACTCCCTTGGTCGGTGAGTAAATATGCCATTGTTCCAAACTCATGTCACTTCGACTTATCCCAAAGAAACATCCCTTGGCTTATTCGCAAGGAACATTTATTGCTCATTATCAGATCTACACTTTCACCATTTAGATTAAATTGAGTGTTGGACTGAAACAGCTAATTTTAGGCCGTTTAAGCCTCAGAAATGTAAGATACTTTTCTTTGTCTACCTTGAGGAAGCCTTCTGGAGCACACTACTCAGCTCATCCTTGACTTGGTGCTCGAGCAAAGAGTCTGAGAGAAAGCTAGAAATTAGTCTTCTTTTCCCCTGCATAAATCTAAACTTATCCAAATCCAAAGCCGGAATGTGACAGTGGACAGCATAATAAGAACACCAGGACCTGGCATTACGCTCACTATATGCTCATTGTGAGGCACAACAGGTGATTTAGTCTTTCCATGCCCCTGTTTATGGATGTCAGAATGGGACATGCACTGAAATGCCAGAAAAGCCTATGACGAGTCAGTTATTAAGATATATTCTGGTCAGAAAAGATAAAAATGAGATACGGCTCCTTTGACAAATGTCAGAGGCAAAAATAAAGACGGATGTGCTTTTGTCCTGTTGGAACTACTTGTATAGGTTTACCTCATCGCTGTATTTGATAAAATGGGAACAAAGGGAAGAAAACATTAACTATTTCTCCTTTGATGCTTCAGATGTGTAGAAAAGTACATCAGAAAAAGTATTCTGTGAAACTGAAAGTGAAACTTTGTTCTAAATGTGGACCACATGAATTTTAATTTAAAGGAATAGAAAATGAAAATTGTGCATTACTAATACAAAGCCCTAATTTGATTTTGTGCACCACAACTACAGTTAAATTACTTAGGAATTTAGTGGAAACATTTAAGTTAAATTTGAAGTTCAGAAATATAAATAGAGCTGAAATACATGTGGCAGTAGTTTGGTGAAATTCAACTAAAGAGCAGAGTATTTCTTTAATCGTCTAGAAGCTGATCATCAGTCATTGTGACTATGGTAAATGTTTGTAACTCTTAAATTGTGGAAGTGAGATCAATCTATCAGGGGTGGTGGTGCTGTCGTTTGTCTTTGGTATGTATCACTGACTGTAGAAGTACCGGGATGAAAATGACTAATGACTTCACAGTTGTATGAAGCTACAGTATCCTTCGCATTGAGGAAGCAGTGAGGAGGATGAATATCCCAGACTGACTGAGTCAGTCAAACGCCCTGATTTGATTTGAGTTGCATTTCATTTCCAGCAAAAGCTATAGCTTGCAGCTATGGAACCTTATGGACTATTTCTGAGGAAAATGTCTGACCTGTTTTAACTGCAAATGCATGCAATGTACGTGTTTTCACACTGTGGTGTGTTGGGGTTTCCACTCTACACTATCTGTCAGAGAGGTACAAGAAATGACTTTTCATGTCATTGCCTAGACATTTTCCCGAGTCTTTACAGAGAAGTCAATCTAAAAGTTAATGATGAACCTTGATTAACTAATATCTATAGAAACTATATGGAGAGGATTTTCTCCTCTGTGGACATACTGAGAGTAGGATCCTCAGCAGAGTTTTATCCTGGAGAGACGTACAAGCCCCTTGAAGAATTTCCACTCAGGCTTCATTTTCAGTTTTGTTTGTTTTTGGATGATATTTTGCCTCAGTCCTGGTGCAGGCTGTGCGGCTGCCTTCAGCAAATTCCTTTTACTCCAGTGATGCCTTTTGTAAACACTGCGAGCAATTTTCTAAAACCCATGACTGTGAAAAAAGTGAAAACCTCAAAGATATTGAGATAAACTTGTCACACAGGGTCTTTCAAAAAGCAGCTAAACTTGGTCACAAATGGCCTCCATGAGGAGGAGCTGACTTGAAGTCATGTTTGAATCTTTAGAGGTGTGCTGCTTAACCCTCTGAGCCAACAGTCCTGCATGGTTACCAAATCTCCCAACTCTGGTAACCCCCATTCAAATCATTACCTCACATGTCTCCAACCTACGAACATGGGATCCCAGTTGAATGTCATGAAGTTCCCCATTTGAACTTCACATGGGCTTATCTTTTCATGCTCTTTCTTTTGGTGGTCATCAGCTGGAGGGCACACCCAGCAGACAAAGCATCTGCTCCCAGAACCTGAAACAGAATAGCTTCTGGTTTTTATAAAGTGGCCACTACGTCACCCAGGCCACCGCGTCACACTTTTATTGGCTAATTAAGAGCACCAGCAGCATAAATACTTAATATCTGAGTGTCAGAATATTATTGCAGGCTGTCTTTAGTCACTACTTTATAACCTTGCTCAGTGTGTGTGGTATGGCTATTGTGGAGGAGCCACAAACCTATAAAATATTTACAGTCGTCGACATCACTTAGCAATGTTGACCTCAGGTAGTGAAATTGGAATGGTTCTAAACACTGTTTTTCATACCCCCATCCTCGTCACCTTCTTCTACTCATGTTTATTTTTTATATCCTGTCAAGTTCACCATACTGTTGGAGTTTTGCTTCATTCAGAGCAGACCTGTCATATGAAAATCCATTTTAACACACCACTAAACATGGCCCAAACTGCAGTCAGCTTTTACTGTTGAGCGGGTTCAGAATTCAGATCAGCCAGGGATATTTCATGGACTCTGCATCTTCATCCTCAAGCTTTAATTGAAGCTCAAATACGTATCAGTGTATGAATGAGGCATTTAAAGTTTGTAATAACTTTGTGGTAGAGTCATTTAAACAAAGCGTGGGGAGAAGGGAGGCGGAGGACAGGTGAAAACAACACAGAACAGTAATGTCAATCACACTCACAAGAATTATCTCTGTAATCTAACGGCTCATAAACTGCCGTGTTGTTTCCAAGGTCACTGATTCGTACACCTAGACATAAATTCAAACAGCACAATCTTTGAAAAGACTTTTACTGCAATGGAAATAAATTTCGAAAAGCAGATAAAAGATGTGCCCTATATTATTTGTTATTCAATAAATGTTCACAGACCTAGTGTTCAAACAGAGAAATGCCTCGAATGCTGAATAGAGAGGAAGACTCCGGACTGGGCTAAAAAGGGCATTATCGCATGTATATTAACTGAATTTGTCAGAATATGTTTTATAATTGGTTCTGTAACATACTGCTGGCTAAATGAAGCATGCAAAATTTGTGATGAGTGAGTCATCAGTCTGTGACACAGTGATAAATGTGAGGATGGAATCATTTTTCTTTTCAAAACAGACCAATTTGCAAAATTTGCAATAAAATAGCTTAAAAACTACGAGGAGCAGAGCTCTTAAACCACAAATAGATATCTGTTTGCTTATTTTTGCTCTGCCTTTTCTTGAAATCTTCATGTGACCGTGTCACAGGGAAACACTTCATCCCACTTACCACGCTTCCTTTGACACTGTGTGCTTCTGTTCCTCCTGCCAGGCGTCGGTGTTATCAGTCTGGAGCGAGCATATCCTCTCACACTTGGCTCCAACATTGGCACCACCGCCACAGCGCTGCTGGCAGCACTGGCCAGCCCTGGACACAAACTGGCAGCTGCCATACAGGTGGGCTGGTGTTTTATCAGAAACAGCTGCCGTTTTAGAAAAACAAGGAATTTTGGGAAGAATTATAAAGGAAATCCCACATCTACACACAGTACTTCAATACTGTACAGCACTTCCAATTTGACAAACTTGCACTAAAACTATTTCTTTACGAAACAGTTTACGTTTTTTAACAATTAGAGTTTGTTTATCTACATCTTCTTTTTGCACACAGATTGCCTTGTGTCATCTCTTCTTTAATATCTTTGGCATTCTGCTATGGTATCCTCTTCCGTTTATGCGTCTACCAATAAGGATGGCTCGGGTCCTTGGAGAGCGCACCGCCAAGTATCGCTGGTTTGCGGTCTTGTATCTCCTGGTCTGCTTCTTACTCCTACCATCACTGGTGCTCGGCCTCTCGTTGGCTGGCTGGCGGGTCATGGCTGGAGTCGGGGGTCCCTTCCTGGGTGTTACCCTCTTCATTGCCATGGTCAATATGCTGCAGGCCCACAGCCCCAATCGTCTGCCCGCCAAGCTCCAGACCTGGGACTTCCTGCCCAGGTGGATGCGCTCTCTGAAACCTCTTGACAGAGCGATCACAAAAGCAGCCTCATGCTGCAGCTTCACTTATGAGGAGGGTCAAGAAGTAGAGGAGGAGCCCATTTCAACCCAAATCTCAGGCAGCATGGAGGAAGAGTCAGTTCAAAGGAAAGAGCAGCTGGGTTACCACAACCCAGTCCTGGACTGCCTGGATGAGAGCAGACCAGGGGTGCTGGTTCTTAAACTAAGAGGGTTAGAAAGGTGCAACAGCACTCCTCTGTAGAAGAACTGATAAAAAAAAAGCTTTTTTATACTCTCCGTATCAACATCGCTGCAGACCTGAGAGAAGTATTTTCTTTACAATTCCAAAATTCTTTCAAAAAAGATAATTAAGTAGTTTTCCATATTCCAGAAACTCAGTGTGAGAATCAGGTCAAATTAAAGTTTTGATTCTTACACACTGCCACATAAGTCACCCAGTCTGAGTGTGTGGGTCTGGCCCACTGAAAGGATACTGCCTGGTGGGGACCTGCATTTTAAAGGGGCTGCAGTGAAAGAGAGCATCGACATTAAGGAAGGGTGCCATGGAGGTTTTTTATTTTATTTAGCCTTACTTGTGAGCTTTTGAGATTTTTTCACTCGAAACACGACCAATCTCAGTCTGCCATGTGAATGTCTTTTAGTTGCATTTCAACCAGAAACTGCTGGAGCTTTGCATGATTGCATGATTATGGGTGATTGATAGCAGCCTCTAAGTATTACACTGTGAAAAAATGACAGTTACAAAGATTAGTGAGAGAACAATCTTCATTAACAACCATGTTTCAAGTTGCATCTCATAGCTCTTCCAGATTAAATGGTTTCATTAACTCAGGAAGAACCATTAATAACCATCCACGCAGACGGTCCCTCCATGTGACACTGATTTAATTGTTTCCATATTGTTGTATACCAAAAGGAACACATCAGGATTAGAGTCAGGATTAGAGAAGCAAAGACATGGAATATTTAAAGGCAGGAAAGATGAAAAACCAATTATGCCCGATTCAACATAGCAAGTGATTTTAAGAAAGTCTTCAGAGGGCTGATGAAGCTGCTCCTTTTCATTTTTATGTATCAAGATGTCATGATACCGGGTTGCAACAGGACAGCA